AGTCTCATGTTCAAGATCTAGACCGTGGGTTGTTATGAGATCACACATCAGTTGGTAAGGAAAACGAAACATTTCTTATAAATGTGTGGAAACTTCTCTCTAACCGTGAGGCTGACGACGATACGAAAGAGGTCAAAGTCGACAATATCTGCTAGTATTAGGCTTGAGCTGTTACAAATGATATTAGAGCAAGACATAAGACGGTTTGTTAGCGAAAACGATGGGTTCCCAAGAAGAGTGGATTGTGAGATCTCACATCGGTTGGAGAGAGGAACGAAACATTTCTTATAAAAATGTGTAAACCTCCCTCTAACAGACACGTTTTAAAATCGTGAGACTAACGACGATACATAACGGGTCAAAAGGAGACAATATCTGCTAATAGTGGGCTATTATATTCTCGAAAAATATCTATGGATTAAAATTAAAATAAAAAAACATGATAGTTAAGTTTTTATTTATTTTAAATAAATTTAAAATGAATATTTAGAATGAAAAATTTAATAACTAAATGAAAATAATTTAGTAATCTTCATAATTAATTAGGAAGTTATTATCGTAATTAAAATAAAACTCAATAATGGAAAAGTTAATTAGAGAAAAGAATCCCCTAATTTTTAAATTATATATATATTTAATGATCCCGCCATCTTCTCAACGAAACCGGGTCGAAAAGCGGGTAATCAGGTTAACCCGTACCCGTATTGAAAACCGCCGGTCTTCTTAACTCGAAACGTCACGTTTGCATAGCATCTCCACGTGGCTTTCACGAAGAAAATTTCAGCTCTCATCTCTACTCCCGCTTCCCGCTCCCGCCCGTTGTTCTTCGCTGCTGCAAGTCTCACTGTGAAATCAATTAGCGAATCGGAGAAACTGGATGTGGAATTTTCACTGGTTGTTATCTCAATCTGTTCTTCGTTGTTCGTTAACTGTTCTTCATCTTGTAGGAAAACGATTACGATTGGGAAATTCCGATTCGCTAATGAGAACTAGTTTCTAATGGCGCTCTCGCCGTATTTGTCCGTGCCGAAACCTTTTTGAAGTTCAGCGACGTTTCCGAAACGGTATTTAGAGTCTCATCAACTTCCATTTCTCTCAAATATTTCCGATTTCAGTGTTCGCCGTAGATTTTTTCTCAGATGACTGGAGATTGTCCTCCGATTCGGGGAATTGCCGAGCGAAGCCGAAGGATCTTGTTCTTGGGAATATCTCGGTAATTTTTTAGACGGGCAAGTACAGCTATGATGTTGAAACCGCCATGAGGTAGCATAGCTCGTTATCTTGATATCTTCAAGAATAGGCTCTCACTCAATGACTTCAGCATGGTTTTTAAGGAATTCGCGGCGTGCGGCGATTGGCAACGCTCTTTACGCCTCTTTAATACACGCAACGTCAGATGTGGTGCAAGCCGAATGAGTACATCTATGCCATCGTGATCAGCTTGCTCAGCCGCGAAGGATTGCTAGAGAACTGTAGCGAGATATTCGATGAAATGGAGAGCCAGGGCGTGATACGCAGCGTGTTTTCTTATACCGCTTTGATAAATGCCTACGGGCGCAATGGTCAGTACGAAACCTCACTCGCACTTCTTGAAAGGATGAAGAGAGAGAGAGAGAGTCGCCTTATATATTGACTTCAAATATCGAACAAAGATTGTGAGTCTTGAAGGTGTAGTCAAAAAGTGACTAAAGTATCGAACAAAAGATGTACTTTGTTCGAGGGCTCCAGATAAAAGAGTCAAACCTCGATTAAGGGGAAGCTCTTCGAGAGCTCTATAAGTTTCCGGGGAGGCTTATAGTGTACTTTGTTCGAGGGAAGGATTGTTGAGGGTTCTTGGGAGTAAGTCCCACATTGGCTAATTTTAGGAAATGATCATGAGTTTATAAGTAAAGAAATACATCTTCATTTGCATGAGACCTTTTGGGAAAGCCCAAAGCAAAGCCATGAGAGCTTATGCTCAAAGTGGACGATATCATATCATCGTGAAGAGTCGCGATTCCTTACAATTCTTCTGATCTTTCCAGTTTTCTCTCTGTTGAGAATAGAGGGACTATTTGCCGAGATGAGGCACTTTAAATACTTTGCTTAGTGCAGGTGCTGCCCGCGGTTTAGGTGATGAGGCAGAGATGTGTTGAAATATCATCAGCACAATAATTGTACAAGCCATTGTATATTTATTTTGAAATATCATCACTAGCACAATAATTGTACAAGGAAAGATAGGGCTTCAACCTGATCTGGTTACTTAAAATACTTTGCTTAGTGCAGGTGCCCGCGGTTTAGGTGATGAGGCAGAGATGTGTTGAAATATCATCACTAGCCCAATAGAGTCAAGCCCAATATCATCACTAGCCCAATAGAGTCAAGCCCAATAATTGTACTAGTCCATTGTATATATATTTTAGAAAAAAGATCTGATTTTAGGAGAAGAGATCTGTATATTTTAGAAAAAAGATTCAGATTTGTTAGATTTAGATTTAATTAGATAGATATCGAACAACGGTCAGATACAAAGTTAAAATGTTACATTATTCTTTGAATAATTTTTCGAACACATTAAAATTTCATAGATACGTAGATAGGTTATCATTAAAATTTCGAACACATCTATTTTTTCTATTTAGAAATGTCATATATTTTGTTTTTTTTTTTAAATAAATTTTCAAATGAGACAAAAAAATTCCAATTATTATTATTAATTAAAAAAAAAAGCAAAATAAATAGAAAACCCTAAAATAATAGGTGTAGGAGAGAGAGAGAGAGAGCTAGAGAGAGAGAGAGAGAGGGAGGGAAGGAGTGGTGAATATGGTAGATGAACCCCACAAGACCTTATCTTGGTTTATCCTCCAAAGAAGCACACCACCATTAAAAAGCTTTAGATTACTAAAGCAATTCCAACAACATTAAAGAAGATAATGTAACAAAAAGCTTCTTCTTCTTCTTCTTTCTTATTTGCTTTTTGAATAGACCAAAAACGAATATGCTTACCCAACGGTTCATATTTAAATCATACCCGTAAAAAAAATGTTTTTTTTATTCGCGTTTTTTATAGTGAGGCCGAGAAGATGGAAAGGGCGTTTTTGGAACCGACCCAGAATTTCGAGTTGGTTGGATTGGTGTAACAGCCCAAACCCACTACTGAAGATGGAAAGTGCGTTTTTGGAACTAACCCAGAATTTCGAGTTGGTTAGGTTGGTGTAACAGCCCAAACCCACTACGGAAGATGGAAAGGGCGTTTTTGAAACTAACCCAGAATTTCGAGTTGGTTAGGTTGGTGTAATAGCCCAAACTCACTACTGAAGATGGAAAGGGCGTTTTTGGAACTAACCCAGAATTTCGAGTTGGTTGGATTGGTGTAACAGCCCAAACTCACTACTGAAGATGGAAAAGGCGTTTTTGGAACTAACCCAGAATTTCAAGTTGGTTAGGTTGGTGTAACAACCCAAACCCACTATTGAAGATGGAAAGGGCGTTTTTGGAACTAACCCAGAATTTCGAGTTGGTTAGGTTGGTGTAACAGCACAAACCCACCGCTAGCTTGGGCTTCCCTTCAAGGTTTTAAAACTCATATAGGGAGAGATTTTCATACCTTTTAAGGAATGTTTTGTTCCCCTCTCCAACTAATGTGTAATCTTACAATTGATGACTCGAGCAACATGAATTGAGTTCACAACACTCTCCAACTTAACTTATTCTATAATACATATTACATTAGTAACTAAAATTTCATAAAATTCAAATATCAAATAGCTACAAACACAACGTATCACCAACATCAATTACAAACGTTAAATATTTTTATGATTGGGTTAAGTTATAACTTCATTTTCAGGTTGGTCGAGTTGACCCGACAAATAAAATGTCAACCAACAAACTGAACCAAATTTTCGATTTTTCAAAAATTCCATCCAACTCAAATAAAAAAGAAAATATATATAAATCAACCCAATTTTTATGGTTTGAGTTGGGTAGTTCAGATCAAATTATCCGATTATATGAACACTCTTTTCGAAATCTTTTTACAGTAAAAAAAAAAGAAGTTAATAATCCCTAAACTTTTAGGAAATTAAAGTAGTCGAAATTTTCAATTTGCAACAATTCAAACCCGTAATCGAAATTTTCATCGACACGAGGGGTTATGTAGTAATTTAAGTAAAAGTAAAGGGCAAATGTGGAAATATTGTTTTGTTTGTACATGTGATGTGATATAGTTTTTTAATGCTTTGTCCCCACACATCTCACCTTGGGGTTTGTGTAAAGATTTGAACCATATATTGTTGAATGTTGATACCCTCAATTGGCCCATTCTTTCATTTTCCAATCTTTTTACATTCCTAGGTTTCTTTTTTACATCCAAATAACAACTAGTTTGCTCGTAAAATAGTGAATTTGATAGTGATGTGATATTACATGTTTACCCTTTAAATTTTAAGCTAAATCGAGGAGTATACGTTTTTGTCTTGGGTGTTCTTCTGTCGTGCGACTTGGTGGGTTATGTGCGACCTTTGGTGACCCACGTCTCCTATTTGTCCAAGACGAGGAGCTTGAACTATGATTCGATCTCGGTATTCAATCCTGCTGATGAGATGTCTAGTTTAGGGTTTTATTACGCGTCAAATTTAAAATTAAATCTAATAAATTGGTTAAATAATTTTATTTTTTTAAATATGTTTGAGAAATTATTCTTAGGTTTCGAGAAACGCAATATGCTCGATTTTTTTAGATTTTTAAAAAATATAAATAAAAGCATTATTTATCTTTTTAAAAATTAATAATTATCAATTAAAAAAAAAGGAAATTCGCCTTATTTGCAAAAAAAAAAAATAATGTTATCCATAGCTTGTTTATATTTCAAAGGGGGAGTGATAATTAGATAATAGGAAATACACATAAAAAATGAAAGCCAACCAGAAAATGCCACGTGTTACATAGACACTCACTCCCATGATTGTCACAGCCGCATATATATATATATATATGTATATAAAGCATAATTCAATGCACCACTTGTCTTGATATTGTTGTTTAATTTCGGTGGGTTTCTTTTTCCTTTTCTGAAAATTGTACTGCGTCGTCGAAGTTGCCGATGACGACCGACGTTCCTGATTCCGCCGTCTCCGGCGGCGTTACCAAGGAAATTGTGTTGTTCGGAGTTAGAGTCGTGGTGGACCCGATGAGGAAGAGCGTCAGTATGAACAATCTCTCTCAGTATCAGCATCCTCCTGCGGTTTCCAATGATGATAACGGCGGTAATAGTAAGGGTAATATCTCCGCCGCTGAGAGGAAGGAAGATTCGACTGCTGGTTATGCTTCTGCGGACGATGCCGTGCCCAATTCCGGTGGGAATCGTGAACGCAAGCGAGGTTCGATTCGTTCCCTGTTTTTCTTGTCGTTTCTTTACTTTTTTTTCGCCAGGTAAAATATAATCGTATCAATAGTGCGATGAAGATGATGATAATCAAGTGATTTTGAGATACTATTTGCGATTCGTCTGAGTAGTTCCTGTAAAACACTAACACACATTCGATTGATTTTTTTGGGAAGTTTTGATAGTTGGTAGGTTCTCACTTAATAGATTGAGAAATTTTACTAGGTTTGTTTTGGAATCTTATAGATTAGTTCAATTTATTCGGTATTTGAAGTAATTTTGGGAAGTTTGTTTGTGGATGATTCCCAGGAGTACCATGGACGGAGGAAGAGCACAAACTTTTCTTGCTGGGATTGCAGAAAGTGGGGAAAGGGGATTGGAGAGGAATTTCAAGAAATTTCGTTAAAACTCGAACCCCCACGCAGGTGGCTAGCCACGCGCAAAAATACTTTCTACGCCGAAGCAACCTAAATCGTCGCCGCCGTAGATCCAGCCTCTTTGATATCACCACGGATACGGTAACTCTCATCTTTACTAAATTTATAACTTCTGTTTAGATGGTGAGAAGAATCTATGGATTAGTTTTCAAGTATTTTGCAATCTTCTGTTTGATTCCTTAGGGTTCTAAACTGAGATTTTCAGTTGAAATAGTGTATTCATTTGGGTAGGTGAATCAGGATTTCAATAAACAGATAGTGAAATTTCTCGGCCTATCTCCTTTTGGAATTTGCTCCTTTGTTCTTGCATTTTTCAACCCACAATAACAAAGAAAACCACCACTTCGAGTAGCAAAGGGATGGGCAAAATGGAACAAGACAATATGATTAGTAGTTTTGGGATTCTAATGATAGTATACTTCAATAAGTGCAAATCGATCTTTACTTATAATTCTTTATCTGGGTTCATTAGGTAAAGGTGGCTGCTGAAGAACACCAAATTCAACTTCAAGATAATTCCTCCAAATTGCAATCCTTGTTGCCACCTCCACCACCTGAAACTTGCAACATAAATGGATATCATCATCCGATGCCAACTTTTCCTCTATCTGTTTGCCCTGCAGTTTTACCTGTGCCAAATCCAATCGAAAATCCCACACTTGGGCAAGAAAACCTTGACCTTGCTGCTGAAATTTTGCCACTCAATCCAACCACACCCAAGATTAACTCGAATTTGAAGTCGGCATTAAAATCTGGAGCTCTTTCTCTTAACCTTTCTTTGCCTTCAAACTCTGCCAATTCTTCATCAAAACACCCTGATTTCCCAGGAATCTCAAGAATGAGCAGCGGGGATAACATTATCAGTGTTTCTTAAAATCACTTTGAATGGTATGGTATAATGATCTGGAGACAAAGTGATTAGGCGACTAACTAAAGTTGTTTGTTGTAGTTGTATATCCCTTTCCCCAACCCCCCAAAAAAGGAGCAAGAGAAGAGATAGAACTGCTGTGGCTTGTTGTTTTCTTTGTTTGGATTGTTGTTCATTTGGTGTTTGTCTGTATAACTGAACCTAACAAGCTGTCTCTGCTCACTACTGCTTAATGATAACGTCTTGACTTTTTCAGTATCTGTGTGTGGCCTTGGAGTGTTTTGAATTAGGGAAAATATCAAGTTTGATCAGGAGATGGTGATGTAGATGCCTCATGCCTCATATTTCTCTATCTTTTATTAGATTAGGTTTGGTGCATCTTGTGATTGTGGATAGCATTTGATCCTCTTTTGTGGGTCAAGGTGGTTGTACTGACATTTTACTTATATGTGAAGCTCATTCTCTTCCATTGACAGATTTTATCTCATATGCCTTCCTTTCTGCTGGATTTATTTGCAAGTTGCTCAAAGTTTCATTTTATAGCTTGGGTAATGTTAGTAAATATTGTTCGCTTTTGCCCTTTACGTATCAATGTCAGCCTCACGATTTTAAAACGTGTTTATTATGGAATGTTTCGTTTCCCTCTCCAACTAATGTGTGATCTCACGATCTCACGATCCACTTCGTTTCCCTCTCCAACTAAGGTTTTCACACTCTTAAAGAATATTTCGTTCTCCTCTCCAACCAATGTGGGATCTCATAATAATGGTTTTCTTCCCCTTGCTACATTTGTCTTTGATTAAGAAATGTATTAAGTGTTCAGGGAAATAGTCTTTTCTTTCGTTCTCGTTTTCGTTTGATTTGATTTTGTGGCCTTTATTTTGACACTTTATGTATATGTATTCTATAGGTATCGGGCCGACTTCTAGTCTCACGAGCCAACTGACCCTACTATATAGATAGGCACCTATCATGAATTTCTACTCGTTCCCTAACTTCTTTATTATTCTCATATTTGTTACTCGTGAGTTACAACATGTATAAGCTAAATTTGTACGGCTTTTCTAGGTAATTTCTTAACTAGAAGGGTGGTAAATACGATTTTTTTTTTTATTTATTTATTTTTTTCTATAGCTCAAAGTAAGTGCTATTAAGTAACAAAAAGTTACCATTTAATATAATATAAATATGTAGAAGGCACATGCAAAAATGTGTGAATAATTAAAAAGTGGATCTAATTCTCATGCGCATTACGTCGGAAACTTTATAGCTTTGGTTAAGTAATACCAATAGTGTACTTTTCTTGAATTTCTAGCTTTTTAGGTTCTATGGATTCTCAACAAAAGGGGATGCCATTGTTATGTGGTTGCTCAATACTTGGATAACACTCAAAAGTTAGGCATCTCCTTTTCCACTTTCCATTTTAACCATCTTTAGAACTAAATTCATGAAAAAGATATTATTTTGATCCATTTCCTTCGTCTTTAGCCAAAGCGATGCAATCGAGGGGAAGGAGTGTGCAGCTCGACCGATAAGGAGTCGAGGAGAAGTAACTGATAAGGAGACAAGGAGATGGAGCGGTGCAACTCGACTGATAAGGAGCCGAGAGGAAGGAGCGGTGCAACTTGATCGATATGGAGTCGAGAGGAAGGAGCGGTGCAGCTCGACCGATAAGGAGCCATACAACTCAACCGATAAGGAGCCGAGGGGAAGGAGCGATGCAGCTCGACCGATAAGGAGAGGGGCGCTCACTTTTTTTATTGGCTGAACTGTATTCGCTAGGTGAGGCCAAGAGAAAGAATGCAAGAGAAAGAATGGACAGGGACAACTGTGTATCAATCATATTTTTTTTTTTTTTGTCAATCTAAGAATAACTCATTAAATAAGATATTTAGAGTTTGGTAAATGTATGGAATTACTTAGTTTTTCGATTTTTTTCTATGAATCACACCAAATGAGTTTGAAACAGTCTATTGACGTCTTCTCAGGTTAGGATACGAGCAAGAGGCAAAAAAAAAAAAAGAGTTGTCAACGAAATTAACCCTGCATTGGCATTTCCTGACTTCTCTTCCGATGCTTCGAGAAGTGGCAATGAAGTACGATATGCTGATGGTCGACGATCCGATCTTCTACTTGTTGATTAAATATTTTTTAATTCATCAAAATTACTTTGAATTTATTGTTTAGTAAACCAAATGAAGTAGCGCTTAAGACATTAATTCACAGGGATAAAATTTAGAGAATATATATATATATAATTTTCCCCCCAAAATCTGGTTAGTTCCGAGCAGAGGAGGCTCTACGAAGGCGACTTTCAGCGATTGAATATGGCTTCTTCGCCGTCGATTCATCCAAATTCTTCCTGTTCTTATGAACTTTCTCTATGTACTCAGACGCCCAACCATCCACATTCGCCTCAATAAAATCGCTCTCTTCGCGAATCAAATACGAAGAAGGCGACGGCGACGAATACCTAGGCGATCCATGGCCGATTTGGAAGCCTCCTCCGCCTGGCTTCGTCACGTAGATCGGCTTCGCACGGCTCTGTGGCTCCTGCAACCTTCTACTTCCTGGAATCAGAGGCGTCTTCGCCGGATTTCCTCGCGATTGCCGCACTGCCGCCCTAGATCCAGCAGTTACTTCATTGGCGGTTTTGGCGAAAGAAATAGAGCTGGAAAGCTTGATTAAATTCGCTACCAATAGCATGGATTTCTCGCAGAGCGATTCGCTCGATCTTCTTTCTTTACTGATCATAGCTGTAATTGATTGGAATGAAGAAACAGAGATGAATTTGTGTTGTATTTATAGTATAATAAGCAATGTTTTTGAGATTCTTTGCTTTTGAGGAGAGTGAGAGATGAGTGAAATTATAGTTCTAGCTTTGGATAGATTGGTTAGAAGGGAGATTCCATGTTCAAATTTTCAAAGAATAATTTAGGGCTTTTGCAAGTGGATAGATCCCTTTCTCACTTGCTAAGAACTCTACATAATCTGTGAGTGCAGGGATGAGGAAGAAGAAGAATCCATGGGAGACTGATAGTTACCTTAACAATATGATAATGGATATGGATGCTCGATGTCAAATCAGGTTTTTTTTTTTTTTTTTTCCTTCTTCCTTCTTCTTCTTCTGTCTCTTTCGGTTGTTGGTTGTAGCGATATATGCATTTGTAACGGTTTAAGCCACTGAGGTCAATATTGTTCACTTTTGTCTGTTACGTATCGTCGTTAGTCTTACGATCTTAAAACGTGTCTACTATAAAAAGGGTTCAGCCCTACTTCGACCAGTGTCTTGTGCTGTCCGGTGACTAGCTCTGATATAATTTGTAACAGTCCAAACGTATTGCTAACAGATATTGTTCGTTTTAGCCCGTTACATATTACTGTCAACCTCATGGTTTTAAAACGTGTCTATAATACCCATTACATATTATTGTCAACCTCATGGGTTTAAAATACGTCTACTGGAAAGAGAGTTTTTGCATTCTTGTAATGAATATTATGTTCCTTTTTAACCGATGTGAGATCGAATATAGTTGAACTAATTTATGAACATGTCTTGATTTAGAGATTAAAGATTGAGATCTCTCGTAAGTGAGCTAATAAAAGTTTTTTATGGTTGAATATTTGATTCAGCTAAAACATAAGCTTATTGAGTGTCAGCTCCATATTCTTTAAGAATGTTTACATAATCCACCATCTAAATGTCTGTGAAAGTTATCTTATTTATAATCAAATAAATTACAATGATATGGAAATAATAATAAATGAAAAGATAACTATGGTAATAAGACAAATATTAGATATTTGTCTTATAATCAAATATAATATATATGGTAAACTATAAGTTATTACTAAATATTCTTAACACCCCACCGCAAGCTAAGCATCGAATTTAAACGAACGTGAAGCTTGAATCTAAAAAATTCAAAGAGGTTGAGAAACACTTTTCGTGAATATATCAACAACCTGGTTTAGAGGTGGTGTAGAAAAACACTTTCTTGGCCATCGAAAATTGCAGAGGGATCACCGCTCAGTGGCGATGCTGCCTTGGCTCCGGCGAAAATATATCTAACCCATGAAGAGGGATTGTCGCTTAACGACGATGCTGCCTTTGCTCTGGTGAGAATATGTCTAACCCCAAGAAGTAGAAGGGAAAACCTAGAACAAGGGACAAAGATAATGTTGAAGCCGGAAGAGTCGCCACATTGGGCGAAGGAGCCAATTTTGGTGAGAAGGGCGGCAGCAACTTGGTCGGCGAAGAGGCCAGTGTGGCGCCCAGATTCCAAAGGTAAATCTCTGCATAAGGTCAATGGGCTATCGAGATTCTGTATATTTACGAAGAGAACGCTGATGAAGATCCTAATCTAAGATTAGGGTTCCTGTGAAGGATGAAGGATGAAGGATGAAGGGAAAATTGGGAAGAAAATGAAAGAGGCTATGTTTGGAAAATGTGAGGTTGTATGTACTGGCGAAGGATGATTTAAAGGTCAAAAGGGTGGAGCCGAAGAGTAATCAATCAGCTTTGCATGTGGCAGCCATGACGATTGTCTCTGCAGCATCAAAGCCAACAATAGTGGTGGAGAAGAACAGTAGAAAATTTCAAAAGCCATTAAAAAGAAAGGATCCGGGTTGCTAAACCAAAATGGCTCTGAGAGGCTATGTTTGGAAAATGTGAGGTTGTATGTACAGAATATGGCGAAGGATGATTTGGAGGTCAAAAGGGTGGAGACGAAGAGTAATCAATCGGCTCTGCATGTGGTAGCCATGACGATTGCCCCTGCGACATCAAAGCCAACAGTGGTGGTGGGGAAGAACATTAGAAAATTTCAAAAGCCATTGGAGAAGAACATTAAAACATTAGAACATTAGAATATGGCGAAGCCGTTGAAAAGTTTTTTCATCCTCAACCAAGGTTCACGTCATTTGTAATTTTAGCCGACTTGCTTCTACAACTGCTGAGGTTCCTTGCGTCCAATATTACATCATTTTGATTCTCAACAACACGGTCCACATGTTGCTACATTAATCTAAAGCTTCACCGAGATGTGTTCAATTAGTTGGGTTAAAAAAACCCTAAAATGCTCAATTTAGAGCCTACCAGGTGATTTGAACTTGCCAACACTTCTCAAAGCATTATAGTGCTAACCGAAAGCAAAACTAAACAAACAAAAACTATGAGATATTTATAATGCTTACTAGGACATGATTGAGAAATTTCGTGTCAACCACGGGCTATCGAGTATCATTGATGCTTTATGATATCCACAAGCATTAGAATGTCACCCACCTTTACAACTCGCCGAAACTCTTATTGAGAATTGACTCATGAGTTAACTTCATTGATACTCGTGAAGATATCGATGCTTATGTTATTTGCATCTTAGTTTATCTCTCGATCCGTATAGTTTGAGTTTGAATTGTTTTATTACTATTATTATTTTTATCATTATTATTGCTATTTTTTTAATATCAGCTCACTTTTTCTTAAGAAAAACAAAGATAAACCCACCGTGTAAAATAAAATTTTAAAAAAAAATTAAAAAAAAGGAAAACCTAACTGCTCCACGCCACTCCTTCTTCTTCATGCCGTCTCCTCCTCCGTTTCAGCACTTAGCGTCGACGCCGCCTCTTTCTTGTTCTCTGCTGCCGCCTCCATTGTCTTTCTTCCGTTCGTGCTCCCGCTGCCTCCTCCCTCCTAGGGATACTGCTTACAGGTGCTCTCCCACTCTCTATCTATGGCTTTATTCTCATTTGAAAAACACAATTAGAATTTGTCTAATGGAAGAATGGAAGCGTTGTTTGGTTTTTTGTATTTTTTTAATATCAATAGTCGAATAGCAACGAAAATAAAAACAATGTTCAGGCAAATTCGGACGTGGTTTGTATTTGGCTGTTCTGATTCGAACATGAATTATTCATCTAATTCTGTTTAGTTTCTAGCTTGATTGACCGAACAACGTCAAACTTGTTTATATTTGTATATTTGTAGATTCCAGCTCGGAGAAGACTATAACCTTTTCGTTTTTCGATGATGAGTGATCCTTTGAATGCATAGAAATAAGAACATGAATCTAGACATTTTTTAAATTAAAATACGAATCAATCACTTCTTGAACTGTTAAAGGTAGTCAAGTGAATGTCATTGTGTTTTAATTTCTACAAGTTTATCTCTTTGTATGTATTTATGATGGTGAGTGTCGACTAAATTGATGAATTTGCTACAGTTGCTAGAGATTCAGGGAGACTCAATAAAACCCCATTCATGTCTTCTCTTTTAGAACTTGAAAACTCTCCCAATATTTTCATACCTGAAGAATGGTCCGAGGCTGCAGAGTCCATAGTTTTTGATTCTCCAACCTCGCCGCCTCCTGTTCTTCTTATCTGCGGTGCCAAAAACTGTGGCAAAAGTACTTTCTCACGCCACCTTCTCAATGTTTTCCTTCAAAGGTTATCTTTGTTCTTCTTTTAATTATTGATGATTTCAAAATTCAAATGTGGAAATGGGATTTTTGGATACCTCTATGTTTCCTTGAGTTGATAATGCTTTACACAATATGGTTTTCTTTTATTTCTGCTTGCAGGTATAAAAAAGTGGTTTATCTGGATTCAGATGTTGGACAGCCTGAGTTTACTCCACCGGGTTTTCTGTCCCTCACCGTGGTCGACAAACTAACGCCAGGTTATTTGGTTAAGGTCCTTTGCAGTGTCGATAGATTCTCATGTACCGAATTTAATAAATTTTCCCTAATTATAGTCTCTCTTGACTGAAAATCATTTTTTTCTTGTTTTTTAAAACTAGATCTGTCGACTCCATGCCTAAAGACGCCAGAGAGGTAAATTGTGTTGAATTCATTCTATATATAGATTTGTACTTTGCTATCTGCATCTGTTGAATCCATCTTTTTTAATGTTGCTTTTTGTTTTCTGTTATTGAATATCTGTAACTCGACTATATGATTTGTGTTGAGGATTGTCGAAGTCAAAACCTATTCTAATTTTTTAACCAAGGATGATTTTACTATATCTTATGGCCCTTTCCTATCTGTGAGTAGTGAAGATTCTCACTGTGTTTTTTTTTCCTATTCTTCTCTTAGATGTTTTTTCTTTGGTGATGTATCCTCAAAAAGAGATCCAACAGCTTATTTAAGTTATGCAAGTCGCTTGTATGATTATTACTGCAAAGAGTACCATTCGATTAACAAGAATCAAGAACTTGCAAAGATTGAATTGCCTCTTATTGTTAATACTCCTGGTTGGGTGAAAGGTATCCTACTCTTTTGAATTGTATAAATGGCTTAGTCAACATTTTTTTTCTTGCTTTGAAAAGTCTTCGACAAGTTACGTGTCACGTTCTCCCTGTTTATTTAACTTAGATTTGTGAATGCCCCAGGTGTCGGTTACGAGATATTGGTAGATATGTTAAAATACATTGCTCCATCATATGTAGTCAAAATAAATATATCTGCTGTGAGTAAGAACCTTCCGGCCGGGGAGTTTTGGTTAGAAGAGGAGGAAGATTTTGGGTCAACCAATCTAATAGAAATACGTTCTGCTCGGCAAGATGCGTTTAATAGATCGTAAGCTCTTTACTATCTTTAATTTCAAAAGCATGTATTTATGCAGGTTCAAAAGCATGTATTTATGCAGGTTGAAGGTTTCCCATAAACCTTTGTTTCATCGACACGTTTTATTTCAGACATTGACTTCAAACATGAAAGTATAATATTCTCACATCTCTTCCTTCATTGTGTTAGGATACTAGTACAAAAGGATGCAAGTCTCATGCGAGATTTGCGTATAATGGCGTATTTTAGACAGTGTTTTCCTAAAGATCGCAGTATTACCACAATTAAAGAGCTTGCACATGCACTGGCATCTCACCCTCCTTATCAAGTTCCAATATCAAGCATTAAGATTAGACACCTACACTGTCAGGTTGGTACAAAAATCAATTTCACTAATTGAAATGTTGCACCTTTCTCATACTGAACCACCACCCCTGCATGCACACAACGTACCAGTATTAATCATGTCTTCATTTATCACTTAGGTCCCAAGCGATCAGATCTTCTATAGTCTGAATGCGACAATCGTCGGCTTAGCGGAATCCTCCAAAAATTCTGAAAATCTGTCATGGTGTGTTGGACTCGGTAGGTTACTTCTATTACATTGTGCCACCAATATTTTTGAGTTATTTACCAACACGAATATAGCTCAACTTGCATAAAATATACACTCTCGATCAAGAGGTTAGAGCATGGAATCAACGTTTGAGTTATTTGCTTGTTTCGGGCCTTAAACTCATTCCCCAGAACTCCGCACATAGTTTAATTTTATGCTCTAACTAATATCTTATGGAACAGGAATCGTTAGGGGCATTGATACATCTAAAAGTCTGCTATATGTTATCACACCCGTCCCCCATGGCACATTGGAAAAGGTTGACCTTCTTTTACAGGGTTTTATCCAAATCCCCTCTTGTTTGTTGCAGGTAATAAATAGATCCTTATGTGAATTATTACCCATCTTCTTTTCATATTCCATCTTTTGCCAGCCCAATGACATTCATTATTGTTTCCAATTTCTTTTTCCAAAATCGTTCAGCTGTTTCCCAGTACATAACTCTGTAGCAACTGGGACATTTTTTGTTGTTTTAAAATTTATAGGCGCATAGTGAAGTTGATAAGATTGTTGTAGCTTGATGAACATAAGTCCAAAGGGATCGAGCCTGGTTGAATTACACAATTTTTCAGGTCTACTATCATATTGACATTGTTCTAAACTCTTCTTCTGTGCAATTTTGTTCCAGGTTAAGGGATGCATATCTCCTTACATGTCTGCAAACATTCTGCCCACGAGATAGTGCATTTACAGAGCTTCAATGCATTAGTTTTCTTGTTCTTTGATAGATAGTTCATTCTCTGTAAATATATTTGTCAAGAACTGTATGACAGTAGTCTACCATTTTTGTTTATTTAGACACATCAAATTTGTTTTCTCAAGGAGGAAAAAACTGGTTGTTGAGTGGAAATTGTTATATGAGAGATCTCAAAAAAGAAAATTTATTTGTTTATTACCACTTTGATTTTATTTTACAAACTACAAATTAGTTGGAAACAAGTTAGCAATAGAATAGTTATAAAATTTGAGAAGAATCGATTCTTATTAACTCGACATTTTCTTGCTTTTCTTGTAATGTGACTATATTATCTACTAATTTGAATTGTTTTAGGGGTGAAGACTATCGCTAGCAAAAATTGCCCTTTTGGACTTTCTTTTTCAAACTTTCCCTGAAAGTTTTAAAATGTCAGAGGGAGAGGTTTTTATACCCTTATAAGAAATGTTTTATTCTCCTCTCCCACCGATATGAGATCTCACTATCTACCTCCATTGGAATCCCAACGTCCATACTGGTACTGGCACTCGCCTAGTGTCTGGCTCTCATACCATTTGTAATCACTCAACCCACCGCTAGTAAATATTGTCCTCTTTGGGCTATCTTCTTTGGGCTATCTTTTTTGGGTTGTTACTCAAAGTTTTAAAATGCGTTTGATAGGGAGAAGTTTACACAGCTCTGTAGGGAATGTTTTGCTCCCCTCTCCAACCGATGTGGGATCTCACTAGGTTTACACACCTCTGTCAGAAATGTTTTGCTCCTCTATCTCACTAGGTTTACACACCTCTGTCACAAATGTTTTGCTCCTCTCTCCAACCGATGTGGGATCTCACAATCTACCACTGCATCTGATATAGATAGTAACTATCAAATTTGAGTCTATTTGAATTTTGAAAGTTTCAATTTTATGTCTAATAAGATCGGGACCGATTTTATATTTTTTTAAAAATATATAAATTCAAAGTTTGAACCTATAAATATAAAATATAATTTTACATCTACTAAATTAATAAACTTTTAAAACTTATAAAGCAAACTCAAAATTAAAATTAAAAATAAAAGTTAAAGATGTACACGTGGCAAAAAGGTCAAAATTGTAATTAACCGGTTATGGTTGGGAAGTGCAGGAATGACCGTTATTTCAGGTAAATGGTCAAGAAAGACAACCTCAGGTTCCTCCAAAAAAACCGGACATAAATCCCAATAAGGGTCTCCTTCCCCTAACTTAGCTCATAACCTCTTGCTTTGCTCTGTCGCCTCTCTCTTGGAAGAACACAACCCAGAAACACTCAGACACAGAGGAGAATCCAAATCAAAAACACACACAAAAATCCCCCAAAAAACAAGGAAAAAAAAAAAGGTCATGATCTAGGTCTGGTCCATCCCACCAAGATCATGATCTTTTCATCTCCATAAAAAAAAAAAAAAAAAAAAAAAAAAAAAAAACTCGGAATCCAAAACCATTTTCTTCCAGCTCGAGCATGGCTTCTCGTTCCTTCACCCGTTACGTAGAACAAGAACTCGGAAAGTTCCCACATTTCATAGTTTGTGCAGTCCTCGAATGGGTTCTCATAGTTTTGCTTTTCCTGGATGGGTTTGTTTCATTTTTAGCCAATGAATTCGCTAAGTTCTTCGAATTGAGAGTCCCGTGTTTGTTTTGTACCAGAATCGACCATGTTTTCCTCCGTAAAAACGCAGACAATTTCTACTACAACAATATCATTTGTAAAGGCCACAAGAAGGACATTTCGTCACTTGCATATTGTCACAACCATAAGAAACTCTCCAACATTCGAAAGATGTGCGAGGTTTGTCTTCTATCTTTTGCAACCGGGAAGGAATCTGATTGTGATACCTACAAATCCCTTGTTGGGATTTTGCATAAGGATCTCGAGTGTTTCGTCGAGGATGATAACCGACAGGTTGTGAGCTTACCAATGGGGAAGGGCAGCGGGGATTTTTGTTGTTCATGTTGTGGGGAGCCATTAAAGGTGAAATCGTCGAATTCTAAAGGAAAAAACGGGAGTACATTTTCGCAAGCGCCTGCACCTTCACCACGTGCAGCGTTTTCCAGTTTAAAAAATGAGGAGAAGCCTACTGGGTTGGAAATACCACATATTCGTTACACCGAACTCAAACTGTTATCTGATAGTGAACCAGAATTTGTAGAAGACGATGAAGGGTTACATGGAAGGAATCTCGATGCTCATCCATGTAAGTTTTATTTATTGAATTTCAATTCACCCCAATCACTTCGAGTATGTCAAAACATATCAACCTACGACACCAAACGTCTGAGTCGATTAACTGAACTAACCTGAAACTAATGTTTTGAAAATTTATGAACTAAAATCTTAATTCTTTGAATCAGCGTTCCCAAAATCTCTTAACCTAACCCAACTCAACCCAACCTACGAACATACCATAAAAACCGACTCGACTCGACTTTCTTTCTCGACATCATCCTTCACATATACCGAATAATTTTAGTATCCGAATTAATTTGAGTGCAGTTAAGGAAGATATCAAAGCAGCTAAAACGCCATTGCTACCTGAAACAGAGGAAGTTCATGAAAGTTCCAGGACACCTCTTTTTGGCAGAGGAAACAAATTCTTTGGTATCCCACTTACAGATTCTGTAAACGACAGTCCCAGGTGGGCTATTAGGATCCCAAAAAAAACACAACCAGAAAGAACAGAGCTAGCAGCAGAGACATATGAGACAGACATGTTGGGGACAGGAGACAATGATTCGATCTTGAATTGCTTGAACAAACAGGTTCCAATCGATCGAAAATCACTCATGGAGTTATACATGGAACTCGACGAAGAAAGAAGCGCTTCAGCCATTGCAGCAAACAATGCAATGGCGATGATTACTCGTTTACAAGCTGAGAAAGCAGCTGTTCAAATGGAAGCTTTACAATATCAAAGAATGATGGAAGAACAAGCAGAGTATGACCAAGAAGCCTTGCAAGCTTCTAATGATTTGCTTGCTACAAGAGAGGAAGAAATCAAGGGCTTAGAGAATGAACTTGAAGCTTACAGAGCCAAATATGGATATCTTGGAGAAGATCAGCTATCTGATGAAGATTACCAAGAATTCAAGTCACAATCATGTCTATCTTCTGAATGTAGTACACCTTTTAGCTTCACAGGGAAAGAGAATAACAAGCAAAGTTTTAACCATTTCGACGCGTTGAAGCTAGCAGACGATCATAATATCAAAGAAGAAAGTATGAACAGCCATGGAATAGCTTTGCCATTCTCCCAGAATGAACCATTGAGAAGCTTTAGAGGAGAAAAAACATATCTTTTAGGCCGCTTGAAGAAGGGAAAGAAGAACATCTTATCCTCTGATGAATCAAGCTCTGGAAGTGTGAATCAATTAGATGAAGCAACAGGTGTAGTGTTATATCAACGACGAACACGAAACGTTCTAAGCGAAGATTGACTTCGATTTCTAATCTTGCAGGAAAAGGAAGAGGTTATGAACTGAGCCAACAACTCACGGATCTTAACGACACGGTGCGAGTATTCGAAGTAGATGACGAATTCTCCAAGCAGGAAACTTCGAAACCTCGTCAACAAGAACAGTGATTCTTAACTCCACATATCGGTAAAGTACTTGGTAATTCTAGATGGGTTTCAGCTAAAGAGAGTTTGAATTAAGGTGGGTGTTTTCTTTCCTTGCAGTTTCTTTTCTTTGTAGGATGTAAATAGTGTTGTGCATGACAAGCTGACTATAGATATCAAGCTCTTCATGAAGCTCGATAGTGGCTAATTTATTCGACACCGGTAAAAGACATTCTTTCGTTTGTTCTTTAGTCAACAGACAAAGTCTAAGTACGATGATGTTTGGTTTTGGATTTGCAGCTGCAGAGGTAAAAGATAGTCAGCTGTCGGCGATGGGTGTAGAGTGGAAATGGTGTTAAAAGCCAAAGAAGAAGGGAAGGAAGAAGGCCAATAGAACCTCAAGGGAAACCAGGAAGGCTTTCATCCCATTTACAGAGAGACAAAACTGTTAGAGTTGTATGATTCAAGAGTTTTTTTTTTTTAAGTTATTATCCCCTCCCCTAAATGTTCTTTAGAGTTCATCAAAACGACAGCAATATGCCAGGAGTTTTGATTGGTTTCATCCCATTTGCTAAATGGAAACTGGAAAGGGGAAGAGGCCAACCGTTTCTAATGTAGATAGATATCATTTTCGTTGTCATTAATTGTTCTAGCATGTGAGATCCCACGTTAGTTGAAGAGGGGAACGAAACGTTCTTATAAGGGTGTGGAAACATCTCCCTAGTAGTTACGTTTTCAAATCGTGAGGTTGATGCCTAACAGGCCGAAGCGGACAATATCTGTTAGCGGCGGGATTTGGTTGTTTACAAATGATATCAGAGCCAGGTACTAGGTGGTGTGTCAGTGAGGAAGCTGGGCCCCAATGGGGGTGGATTGTGAGATCCCACCTCGGTTGGAGAGGGAAACAAAGCATTCTTTATAAGGGTATGGAAACCTTTCCCTAGTAGACACGTTTTAAAACGGTGAGGTTGATGGCTAATGGGCCAAAACGAACAATATCTACTAGCAGTGGGCTTAGGCTATTACAAATGGTATCAGAGCCAGGCATCGGGTGGTGTGCCAGCAAGGACGTTAGGCCCCTAAGGGAGATGGATTGTGAGATTCCACATCGGTTGGAGAGGGCAATAAAACATTCCTTATAAGGGTGTGGAGACTTTTCTCTAGCAGACACGTTATAAAACTGTGAGGCTAACGGTGATACGTAACGAGTCAAAGTGGACAATATCTGTTAGCGGTGGGCTTGGACTGATACATTTCAACTAACAATGATTACACTTTTGTCCACGGTCAAATTTTGAACAAATGAAGCCTTAATATCCACCAAGGGCCCCATCCTCCTACCAAACTCAATAACAGTGCCAAACAAAGAGACAAAATCAGTAGTTCAATTTTCAAAAAGGAGCTAGAAATAAGTATCCACATGTATCAGTGAAAGAAGAATTTGCATCCAATATCAGACATCAACGCTGTGAGCCTGCCATAAGACTGGGCTGACCCGGTGTTTAAGGCTGAGACCTTCTCATAGAGCCATACGTGGACGTGACCCGCAACGAGGCAGAGATGACTAAGTTACATATGAAATATAGCAACGTCAACAGCATTGTAACAGCCCAATCCCACCATTAGCAGATATTGTCAGTTTTGGGCCGTTATGTATCGTCATGAACCTCATGGTTTTCCAACACATCTGCTATGGAGAGGTTTTCACATCCTTATAAGATATGCTTGGTTCCCCTCTCCCACCAATGTGGGATCTCACAATCCACCCCTCTTAAGGGTTCAACGTCCTTGCTGACACACCACCCAATATCCGACTCTGATACCATTTGTAACAACCTGAAGCCACCACTAGTAGACATTGTTCACTTCAGCCTATTACGTATCGTCATTAGTCTCACAATTTTAAAACGCATCTACAAGGGAGAGGTTTCCACACCCTTATAAGGAATACTTCGTTTCCCTCTCCAACCAACCTGGGATCTCTGCTCTGGGATCTCACAAATAATGTGTATGCAATCCAAACACGGTATTTGAGCCGTAAAGAAAAGGGTTATTCCATCACTAAACCTCAATAATTGCAATGAAAATTGCTCTATCAACAGCTTACAAGACATCCTAAACATATTGTAGGGGGAATATACTGTATGGCTAGTCTGTTTCTTATCAGAACAAATGTACAAGTATTAGGATGAACAGTCTCTTTTACCTTGGCCATCTACTTCAATCAGCTCTTTGTACAGAGGTTTTGAACAATAGAACATACAGCTTTTGGTCCATTGATAGATATAAGAACCCACCAACTGAATGAGTCACAAAAGACCCAAAACTTGTCCCCACGATGCAGTGCCAGACCGGGCCATACGCCCCATCAAATTCCTGAAAGAATCACAAACAAACCCATAAAAGTTATTGGCTGATCATTCCAAGAACATCAACATTGCACATAAACCTTAAGCTAATTACCCTCTTGAGAGACAAAGCAAGAGCTTTAGAAGTGAATTTCTCCATACTGTCATGAGCTTTTCTTGCACAATCCACTGCATGAATCTGCATAGCCGGTGGCATGTCAACTGATACCACTTTCATGCCGTTCTTTGCAAAGATATCAATCAATTCAACTTGGGAGGCTGCAAAAGACTTTGTTCTCCCACCCTTTCGAAGTAAGGACACTGTTGGTCTCATACTGTCAGGGCAATGCCCCTTTTGAATCCCTTTCAATTCCTTCTCTTCATTATCAAATTTCTGGAGGCGGGGTTTTGAGTTGATCATAGAAGAAACAGCCATACGGGGAGATGGGTTTGAACTCTTTAGCCTTTGAGATGAAACAAGGGGCTGATTATGGAGCTTGGTGAAGGGAGAGGGCTTAGGAGCAGCAGCGGCAGCCATGGCAGATTCAAGCTTCGGGCATGTGGGGGGATTAGCCACTGAATCAGGATCAGGAGGGGCTAAGCTGGGGAGATGGCTGGAGGGTTTCGCCATCGGAGGTCTGTGAGAGAAATGGAGATGAAAAATGAAAAGGGTTGGAAATGTTTGGTGTTTAGAGAGATGGGAAGCCATTTTTGGATGAGGAAATGAATAGTGAAATTGTGTGTGCTGTGTTCATACCACTGCCTGTTGCGTTTGACTGAGCACACCTAACCCTTGCCTCGAACTCAACACAGCTTTGTTGAATTTGAATAGCTTAGCTTAATTAATTCCTCTAATCATGTTCTAATCACGTTTTCAATCCCAGATTTTGTCCCTAAGCAGCTCCCATTGATTGATGCCATTCCTTCTAATAAGCTTCACCTCCCCTGTTCTTTTCTTAATATATTTTATATAATATTTGAATTGTGTTCGGCCCACAAATGATCCGACTCACTCAAAAAATAGATGAGAAACGTAAAATTTCCGTAGGTCTATTTATTTTTTCGAGTAGGAATCGAACCAGCCCTAACCAAGTCACAAACTTATAAAAAGATAGAATTCAACTTTTTGTTACATTTCTAATCGATAATACGACCAAATTGGACTATTCTATCCCGGTCATAAAAGTTATGTTGGGTTAAATTTTTTTTTTTTTCGATTTGGGTTGGGTTGAATTTTTGTAACATCAAAAATTTGGTTCGTTTCATGGGCGAGTTTTGTGTGTGTGTGTTTGAAAGTAGGGCTACAACCCAACCGTAATCTGCTTTTAAAAAAATAATCTTTTAACGTTTATAATCAATTTTAGTAATGCATGGTAACTTATAATCAAGTTGGGTTGGGTAGTGAATATCTATTGGAGTTATTTGGGTTATCATCAGCCCAACCAATTCAAAATTATAGATTGGTTCGAAGGATTTTTTTTCCATCTAAACCAACTCATTAAATACCAAGTGTAATAGCTCAAGTCCATTATTAATAGATATCGTCAGTTTTGGTCCGGTACATATCATCGTCAGCCTCACAATTTTAAAACATGTTTACTAGGAAGAGGGTTTCGGGATCTCATACCAAGAATTTTGTAGATTTATTTTCCTCCACTTATTTAAACTTAACGAATGACCTTGCTCGACCTATGACCACATCGAGAGAGTTGTTTTTTGTGACAATATTTAGAGAATTAGCACACGAGTTCTCGTTCAATCGTAAGAAGGACGTGTGCAAGATAAGATCACAAACAGCGTTGAAATTAGATCAATCCACCGTAGTGTAAGACAACAAACATTGAGGACATAGTTTGAAGCCATTAAAATGGACATTTTCAAACGGAACAACGTAAAAAAAAATAGTATCTAAAGTATTTATAAATTTAAAAAATAGCAAAATATGAAAAAAAAAAAAAAAAAAATCTAAAATTTTATTATTTATTTTTTTGAATTAAAAAAAAAGCAACCAAATTCTACCAATTTTATTTTCTACATTTTCAATATTTTCCATTAAAATATTTAAATTAATTTCAGACTCAATAAATTATGAAAAATATGGAAACACAATAATTAATCCTATTTATTTTTAGTTAACAAATAATTTACATTTAAAAATAAAAAATAAAAACAGAAGAAGAAAAGGGCATAGAGAATAGCGAGACGGCAAGAAAGGTGAGAAGAATATTCCTATTTATTACTATTAAATATAAATATTATTAATAAATAAATAAATAAATAAATAAATAAATAACATAATCATTTGATATTCTTGTTTGGTTGGCTGTCTTTCTCGTCCTAAGATGTGCCAAATGACAACCACATCCAACAAAACCTCATATTATTGGTTTCCCCAACCCTGTTTCCAAACAACCCTTTTCTACTCACCTTCTTTTATTTATATATTTATATATTTATATATTTATATATTATAAATATATATTATTAGATTAGCCTAACCCATAAGATTTTCCAATAATACTAACGTTTAATTACTTTACTCAATATTCTATTTTGTCTTTTTTCTTCATATTCATTTCATGAGTTTTTTTTTTTTTAATTATTATATATATTTATATATATATTTAATGACCGCTCAAGTCTCCCCAACAAATATTGTGTCTTTGAGTTTTCTTTTCGGATTTCTCCTCAAAGTTTTAAAAAACGTGTATGAATGCTTCATTCCCCTCTCTAACTGATGTGAGGTCTCACAATTTACTCCCTTTTGAGGCTAGTGTCTTTGATGACACTCGTTTCTCTCTTCAATCAATATGGGATCTCACAATCCACTCCTAGTTCGAAGTTAACAGCCTCATTGACACTTATTTCTCTCTCTAATCGATGTGAGATCTCACAATCTACCCCTTTTGAGGCCAAGCGTCCTAGCTTCTTAAAGTAAAGACTATCTCCCATGGACTAAAACGAGTACTCCAAAGAAAATATGCTTAAGTTTAGAGTTCTTACGGTTAAGTTACTGAAAAAGAAGGTGCACTTTGTTATATAGATATTAACTTCCAATTTTTTTTTAAGCATTTCTAAGTCATTCTATATTTAGTATCACTCTTATTATTCCTCTCAGTTCATTTATGTCTCTCTCTTCTACAAATAGATGAACTTTCTTACTCCACATATTTTTAAACTCAAAAGAAACAAAAACCCCTTAGTCAAACACAGGTTAGACCCGGACAAGCTCAAATCCATTCATATTTCATTCTTGAACTCAGTTGGGTAAGCTCTACTAGTGTAACAGTCAAACAGATGAACTCTCTTATTCCACATATCTTTAAACTCAAAAGAAACAAAACCCGGTTATATTTCATAGTATTCTTAGTCAAACATTGATTAGACCCAACAAGCTCAAATCCGTTCATATTTCACTAAGTTGGGTAAGCGAATTTGAACTAGAAATCGAAACTTTTTGAAACAAATGAATAGATGGAATGAAAGAAGTTCACCAAACGGCACAAAAAAGAAGCAAAAGGGGGCATAGAAGGCAACAAAAACAAGAAAAAGAGTGAAGGAAAGCGACGAGGAGGAGCCGTTGGGTGGAAACAACACTATATAGAAAGCTGACTGAGACCAAGTCCACCTCCTCTCATTTTCAAATTCTCATTGGAAGAAGATTCCATCTGTTTCCGTTGGAAAGCCATTGCTTTTTCTTTCAAAAGTTTTCATCATTATTCTTCACGCATTTAAAAATCAAACCCCATTATTCTATTCAACCATTCATTTTCCTTCATCTTCTTCACCGACTTCAACACCATTCTTACGCGCTTATATTCATCGGACCCGAGTTCTTTCCCCATTTTCTTCTTTGATTTCATTTTTAAGAGCATTTTGAGTGTTGGGTCTCTTTCGATTTCGCAAAATTTTGAGAGATTTCTGTTTAGAATCGCGTTAACTGTTCATCTGGGTTTCTTTTCCCCTAAAAGAACGAAGAAGAACAGTTAACGATCGAGGGTTTTCGATTAATCCAATCGATTTCAAGTTCTTCTTTAAGGAAGATTGTTGTTCTTTCTTTTCCGGGAGTTGAAGGTGGGGTATCTCTGTAAATCCCTACCTTCAAACTAGAAATGAAGAGACCCAAATCGGAGAAAGTCGATATGATCGTCTCGTTAACGAGACAGAGATCGATTCAAATACTTCTGTTCATCGGATTTCTGTATCTCCTTCTTGTTTCTTTAGAGATTCCTCTTGTTTTCCGAGTTGGGTCCGGCGTAGTTTCTCCAGATTCTTTATCTCGGCCTCCTCCGCTTGAGAGCGAGGAAGATTTGGAAGAACGAGAAGCCCCATCTCGCCCTTTGGAGAATATATCTAGAAATTCATTACAGCCGACTCCAAGTCGACTAACTCAGTTCAATAAAATCATTTCTGGTTTGGCTTTGGAAACGGAGGCGTTCGAATCAGGGCTTGAAGATGCGATTTCTGAGTTCTACAGGTCTGCAAAGATTGCTTCCGAGGTGGGGAAGAAATTCTGGGATGAACTTGAATCTGGAAAGATTCATCATATAGCGAAGAAGAAGGCTGAAAAAGAATCAAACTCCTCTTGCCCACATTCAATTTCTTTATCTGGGGCTGAGTTTTTAGCTCATGGTGGTGTTATGTTGCTGCCCTGTGGGCTCACGTTGGGTTCGCACATAACGCTTGTGGGTAAGCCGAGAGTTGCTCATCCAGAATATGATCCTCAGATAACTATGGTGAGAAATGGTGAAGAATCTGTGATGGTTTCACAGTTTATATTGGAGTTGCAGGGCTTGAACACTGTGGAGGGTGAAGATCCTCCAAGGATTTTGCATTTCAATCCAAGATTGAAAGGGGATTGGAGTGGGAGGCCTGTGATTGAACTGAATACTTGTTACAGGATGCAATGGGGCTCGGCGGTTCGATGCGAAGGCTGGAAGTCGAAGGCCAATGAAGAGACAGGTATTGTGAATATTGATATCTTTTGTAGGTTTGTAGCTTGCTAGAGCATTGGATTTTGCTGAATTCATATGAACAAAACATTGATTTTGCTAGAGTTTGGTCTTTTGATGATGTTTTTGTGATCATTAGGCTCCTGTTATTGTGTTCTGTTTCATTTAGTCTGTTTATCATTACAATGTATTGTTGAATTCTGCTTGGTTGTTGAGAGCATTATGGATATCGTTCTTAGAGAATGCTGAGTCGTGATATATGTAACGACCCAAGCTATTGTCAGCTTTGGGCATCCCTTTTAAAACGCGTTTGCTAGGGGGAAGGTTTACATACTGTTATAAAGAATGCTTCTTTCTCCTTCCCAACCGATGTGGGATCTCACAATCCACCTCCCTTCAGGGTTCAACGTCCTTGCTGGCACTCGTTCTCTAATCGATGTGGGACCCTCCTAGTCCACTCCCTTCGGAGCCCAGTGTTTGTGTTGGTACACCGTCTCATGTCCAATTGTGAGACCCTATATCGGTTGGGGAGGAGAGAGAACGAAGCATTCTTTATAAGGGTGTGAAAACCTTCCCCTAGTAGACGCGTTTTAAATACCTTGAGGTAAAACTCGAAAGGGATAGCTCAAGGAGGACAAATATCTGTTAGTTGTAGGCTTGAGCTGTTACCAATTTGCGTAATTCTTAAGATTTCTACAGTTGATGGCCAGGTGAAATGTGAAAAGTGGATGAGAGACGACGAGGGGCACTCAGAGCAGTCGAAGGCAACGTGGTGGTTGAACCGACTCATTGGTCGAACAAAAAGAATGGATATAGACTGGCCTTTTCCTTTTGCTGAAGACAAGCTCTTTGTTCTAACGCTTAGTGCAGGATTTGAAGGGTACCATGTCACTGTTGATGGGAAACATGTTATTTCGTTCCCTTATCGAACTGTGAGTAAAGAAATGATCGATACCGATACATTTACCGAACGTTTTTTCTTCCTTCTCTAATGGTTTTTTTACAGGGATTTGCCCTTGAAGACGCCACTGGACTATCCGCCATTGGAGACATTGATGTTCAGTCTGTGTTGGCTGCTTCTTTGCCAAGATCACATCCTAGTTTCGCGCCTCAGCAGCACCTCGAGAAGTCGAGAAGGTGGCAAGCACCGCTTCTTCCTGATGGCGAAGTAGATCTTTTCATTGGCATTCTCTCTGCTGGCAACCATTTCGCCGAGCGGATGGCTGTAAGGAAGTCTTGGATGCAGCATAAACTTATTAAGTCGTCAAGGATTGTAGCTCGATTCTTCGTAGCACTTGTAAGTAACAACAAGAACAGTTCTTTCTCGTTCGAGTTCACATTAATCTGCATCGTTACATTGATTATAACCATTCCGAGTTCATATCTATGCAGCATGCACGAAAAGAAGTAAACATCGAGTTGAAGAAAGAAGCCGAGTTTTTTGGTGATATAGTCATAGTTCCTTACATGGATAACTATGACCTTGTGGTTTTGAAAACTGTGGCCATCTGTGAATATGGGGTGAGTTCTTTTTAGCTGAAATATTGATACGAATAAAAGTCGTCTCGTGATTAATCCTGTGAATTCGATATTGTTTACGTAGGTTCGTGCTGTGTCTGCAAAATATATTATGAAATGTGACGACGATACGTTTGTAAAAGTAGATTCGGTTATGAATGAAGTTAGGAGTGTAGCTCGAGCTGGTAGCGTTTACATTGGCAACATAAATTACTACCACAAGCCCCTGCGCTACGGGAAATGGGCTGTCACGTACGAGGTAAGTTTCGTGTATATCTTGACCTTGTATATCTAGTGTAACAACTCAATCCCACTGCTTGTAGATATTGTCATCTTTGGGCTTTCCTTTCCGGGCTCTCCCTCAAGGTTTTAAAACGTGTATGCTAGGGAAAGGTTTCCACACCCTTATAAAGAATGTTTCGTAACACTCTCCAACTTATGTGGGATCTCATAATCCACTCCTCTTTGGAGCCCAGCGTCCTCGCTGGCACACCACTTGGTTTTTGGTGCTGATACCATTTGTAACAGGTTAAACCCAACACTAACAGATATTGTCCTCTTTGGGTTTTCCGGGGCTTTCCCTCAAGGTTTTAAAACGTGTATGCTAGGGAGAGGTTTCCACACTCTTATAAAGAATGTTTCGTTTCACTCTCCAACCGATGTGTGATCTCACAATCCCACCCCCTTTGGGACCCAGTGTCCTCGCTGGCACACCGCTCGGTATCTGGCTCTGAGGCTCTAATACCATTTGTAACGTGTCAAACCTACCGCTAACAAATAATTGTTCTTTTTGGGCTTTCCCCTCAAGGTTTTTAAAACGCGTATGCTAGGGAGAGGTTTTCACACCCTTATAAAAAATGTTTTGTTCCACTCTCCAACCGATGTGGGATCTCACAATCCACACCCCCTTTGGGGCTCAACATCCTCGCTGACACACCACTCGGTATCTGGCTCTGATACCATTTGTAACGGGTCAAAAACCCTAGCAAATATTGTCCTCTTTGGGCTTTCCCGGGCTTCCCCTCAAGGTTTTTAAAATGCATATGCTAGGGAGAGGTTTCCACACCCTTGTAAAAAAATATTTCGTTTCTCTCTCCAACCGATCTAGGATCTCACATCTAGATGCTTGCAAAGACACGTTTTTATCTGTCGAGACAAATCAATCAACATAGACTCGTTATCTTATGTTTCAGGAATGGCCAGAAGAAGATTATCCACCTTACGCAAATGGACCGGGGTACATCGTGTCTTCTGACATTGCTCGTTTTGTGATATCAAACTTTGAGAGACGTAAATTAAGGGTATGTTTGATTTTTACGAGCAGCTCGAGCTCGAGTTTTTTGCATAAAACATGTATTCAAAAGATGTGTTGTTTTTTTGACAGTTATTTAAGATGGAAGATGTGAGTATGGGGATGTGGGTGGAGCAATTCAACAGCTCAAAAGCAGTGAAATATGTGCACAGTTTCAAGTTTTGCCAGTTTGGATGCATAGAAGAGTATCACACAGCTCATTACCAGTCTCCCAGACAAATGATTTGCCTCTGGAACAAATTACAGAGACGAGTGAAACCCGAGTGTTGCAACATGAGATGATGATGAACACGAAACCGACCGAACCGCACCGAACCGAACGGAACTGATGTTCGGCCCTCGTTGTTACCTGCAGTCAACACCATTTTTTTGACTGCTGCTTGCACCCGAGCGTGAATCCTGCCCTTGTATTTTGTCTCGAGCCTCGGTTTTAGGTAATTTTTTTAGTTCATGTAGAGAAGAAAATATTCCAAATATCAAATTCATTATTTCTGAGCTCTCTTTATCTTAGGACTAAATTAATAAAAATGCCTAAATTAATAAAAATACCGTTTTAATAAAAGTATCTATTGATTTTATTTCAAAAATACCCTTAAACTTAAAAAATTAATTTTAAAATTAAAATAGGTTTATTTTAAAAATATTGTTGAATGCAGCTTACAAAAACAATAAAATAAAATAATAAATAAATAAGAGGGAAAGGACAATTTCTCGCAACATGGACAATACTTTTTATGTGTTTCTATCTGTCGTTATCTACTTTTAATATTTAATATTTTAAGGGCTAAAAAAATAATTTAAAAAAAGTTTGTTTTTGTTTTTTAATCTTTTCTTAAAAAATGTAAAACACATGACATTGTAACAATGTATGAGATCCTACGCGAATTAAAATAGACATTCTTTATAAAAGTGTGTAAATTTCTCACTTGTAGACGTGTTTTAAAATCATAGGGGGTATGTAACAGGTCATAGAAGACAATATCTAATATTGGTGAGCTTGGACTGTTACAAAAGATATCAGAGCCAAACCACAGGCAGTGCAAGAGTAAGGATGTGGACTTAGACTATTGCAAAAGGTGTCAGAGCCAAATAGTGAGGATGTGGGCTTATACTATTACAAAAGGTATCAGAGCCAAATAGCAGGTGGTTGTGTGCGAGTGAGGACGTTGAGCTCAATGTGGATTTTATGAGATCTCACATCGATTAAAGAGGGGAACAAATCATTCCTTATAACCTAATAAGGGTGTGAAAACCTCTCCCAAGTTGACACGTTTTAAAATCGTAAGATTGATGGTGATATGTAACGAAACATACTAGACAATATCTGATGTGACAATTTTTAGAGGTGTCAGTCCAAAAACCCGACCAACCCAACCCTTATGAACTAGGTTATGTTACATAGAATATAGGGTTGGGTTAAGTTATTTTCTTGGAAATCGAATCGAACGAGTTCAAAGAGAAAAACTGAGTCAACCCAAATCGAACCTGATGAAAAAAAATAATAATAAATAGTGTGTAAATAATATATATATATATATATATATATATATATATATATATATATATATATATATATATATATGTACACACACATTCGATAATAAAAGACTTCAACGAGTCAACGAAAAGCAGTGCCACTAATCGGAGGATGACACGTGTCACAATTAGGTAATGACGTCGCTAATTTGTCTATAAAATTGTGGCGCTTAATGTTTTCCTTCACACTGTCCAAAATTTCCAACTCGTCGTCTTCTTCTTCTTCTTCTTCCTTCTCGTTCCACTGCTTACATACCGTAACTCCATGGATTTCACTTCTACAAGGTCGAAGAAGAATGGAACCTCGAATTCCAACGACTCTGACGGCCGCGACAGCAGAGCGATAGTCAGAAGGAGGCCGCCGACGATAGAGCTTTTGGCATCTACAAGCTCTACACTCGCGACGATCATGTTCACGTGGACGATCATCCGCCAGTACTGCCCTCACGACCTCCGCCAATATCTCCATAGATATTTAAACAAGTTCATCGATTACATCTATCCTAATCCGTACGTTCGAATCGCAATCTACGAATTCGTTGGCGAACGCCTCAATCGAAGCAAAGCCTTCGCAGCGGTTGAATCTTATCTGAGCACTAAACTTTCGGATGATGCGAAAAGACTCAAAGCCGAGGTCGGGGATAACAAGAACAATTTCTCACTGAATATAGACGAGTACGAAAGAATTACCGATGAATATGAAAACGCCGAATTCTGGTGGACTTTGAGCAAAATCTCTGGATCGGCAAAGAAATCTACCTCTCTGTATCCAGAGCCCGATCGGAGATACTACCAACTTAAATTTCACAAGAAGCATCGAAACCTTGTAACTGAATCGTATTTGAAGCATGTACTGAAGGAAGGGAGAGAAATCAAAGTGAATCGAAGGCAGAGGAAGCTGTACACTAATGGAACTGGAAATCGATTGACGATTCACCGGCAATCGACGATGTGGAGCGAAGTGTACTTCGAGCATCCTGCTAACTTTGATACAATCGCCATGGATCCAGAGAAGAAGCACGAGATTGTGGAAGATTTACTCACATTTAGGGAAAGCAAAGATTATTACGCTCGAATCGGCAAAGCTTGGAAACGAGGCTACCTTCTGTACGGCCCGCCAGGGACGGGGAAATCGACGATGATAGCCGCCATGGCAAATTTGCTCAACTATGACGTTTACGATTTGGAATTAACTGCGGTGAAGGACAATACAGAGCTTCGGAAGCTTCTAATTGAAACGACGAGTAAATCGATAATCGTTATCGAAGACATCGATTGTTCACTGGAACTCACAGGGCAGAGGAAAATCAAGAAGGAAGAAAGCTCGAAAGATGAGGAGAAAGTGAAAGAGAAAGAGAAGTTAATTAAGGAACATTTGAAGAAAGAAGAAGAAGAGGTGAAAAGCAGAGTGACTCTGTCTGGATTGCTGAATTTCATCGACGGAATTTGGTCGGCGTGCGGCGGAGAGAGGCTGATCGTTTTCACCACAAATCACGTGGAGAAGCTCGATCCAGCGTTGATTCGAAGTGGACGAATGGACAAACACATTGAGCTCTCTTACTGCACCTTTGAAGCCTTCAAAGTACTGTCTAAGAACTACTTGAATATCGAAACACATGAGCTTTTTGAGGAGATTCAAGAGCTTATCAAAGAAGCAAAAATCACGCCGGCGGATGTTGCAGAGAATCTCATGCCGAAGTCCCGGCAAGAAGCCGCTGAGAATTCGCTTCGTAGGTTGATTCGTAGCCTGGAAGAGCTGAAGCGCGCGGCGGAGATTGAGTCAACGAAGGAAGAGAAACGGGCAGAAAAATCAAAAGAGTCCAAAATCAATAGCTGTTCTTGAAGGTGTGGACTGATTGGTCTGGACTTTGGCTTGCGGAGCAAGGCAAGAAAATGGTGATGAGCAATGAAGAAGGAAAATGGTTAGAGTTTTCTTCTTCTATCTATCTATATGTTGATTTGGTTAAGTTTGGGATTTAGTGTCTTATGATATAAATATATTAAGAAATATAATTTCGAGATGAATTTAGGCACTTGGTTGTGAGATTATATACATGATTGTGCATTGCTCAATATCGACATGTTAGTATGCATCAATTTAAGATTTTCAATTTAGAAGGCTTCGTAACATGAATTGATTGACCTGAAATTGACGAGGAGAAAACTTCAAACATAGTAAAAAAAATAACAAAACCATTGATCAAACCAACCAATCGACTAGCTCAATTAGATTTGAATCAGTATCTTGTATTTACCTATCATAGTGTCTAATAAAGTTTCATCCAACTTTATTCAACCACCTTGTACTAGCTTGTCAAACTACACTATTTCATAATAGTTCTTGAAAAAAGTAGTTTCATTTTCCTCCGAAAACTTCATCAATTGTTATCTTTGGGCTTCCAATAGCTTTCCACCTTCTCACTCAAGCCACCGCAGCTAGCAGATATTATCATCTTTGAACTTCTAAAAGGTTTCCACATTCTTGCCCAGACTTCCCCTCAAAGTTTTAAAATGCATTCACCATGGAGAGGTTTCCACACTCTTATAAACAAACAATGTTTTTTTCCACTTCTCACCGATGTGTGATCTCACAACTATGCTTCACACCGTACATTCTTACGCGTAGATCCCAACTTATATTAGGGAGAACAAAGAAGTGTCCGAGATATGGTAATATTTAAAATTTTAAACCTCTATTGACTAAAGACAAGGTCTAAACCATAACAATGCACGAAGTACTTCTTATTGGAGCAAATCTTGAGGGTGATTCTATTATGATGTGGATGCCTTATACATAATACATTCTGTAGGTTCCACAACAACAATTAAGAGCTTCACCAAAAAAAAAACCTGTTCCAAAATCCCAACCAGAACACTATCTCACACAACAACTAAATTATGATAAACTCAAAACAGTGGTAGAAACCAAAGAAAGAAGAAAAATAGCAGATTTCTTTCCATTAGTACATACCAGTGCCCTTCCATATCAACCATGTAATCAGCTACAAGTGAAAAGCAGCAGCAGTAGGAGCACCAGGCTGCTCCATGAGTTCGTTGACCGACTAGCATGAGACGGAGGTGACGGCGTTGGACTCAAGCTTCCAACTGTTGTTGTTACGTTTTCCAACGAGCAAGTGTATTTACAACGACTTGGCGGGACGAACCTGTAGACACCGCTGCTAGTTAGAACGTAAATGTCCTTGTCATTGTCCTCACCAAATGAAAAGACATAGCCCAAAGCTGGAAGAGGGCTTCCTGGAGTGGAACTACAAGGTATGGGAGAATCAGGAGCACAACTGAAAGGAATATCATTTGTGGTAAAGTTCCCACTGTTCTTTGGGGTTTCGGTTCCTGCCCAAATAGCAGAAGCATACAAATCTGCATACAAGTACCTGCTCAATAAGAACACATTGAGCCTATGAATACTTGCATTGTCCTGAACAATGTCATTTCAGAGACTATGAATGCATACAAACATACGTACCTTCCGTACAAACACGGATCAGTGTTAGACCGATAGAAATAACCCCCCGTTATCGATGCTGAACCTGTGTTCTTGTTTATGGTAGAATGGTTGTAGCCCATCACAGGAAAGATTGGATTTATGGAATCTATAGGTGTGGATTCTTTAGGGGATGAATTTGGAACAAACAAAAGAGGACCCTCATAAACACTCCAGCCATAGTTTCCACCCTTTGAGATGATGTTCACCTCTTCGAATCGATCCTGTAAGTACAGGTATAGCAATTATTTGAAGTGTTGTTCAAAATGAGTAGCATTATAAACATTCTAATGTAAGTGGGATATCAAACCTGCCCAACATCTCCACACATGAAGTAGGAAGGTCTTTCTGAATCGAAACTGCAGCGCCAGGGATTTCTCAATCCGTAAGCCCATATCTCTGGCAGTGCACTTTGATCTTCAACAAATGGGTTGTCTTTAGGAATAGAATAGTTTCCCCATAGATCAAGTTTATTAATGTCTTCTGAACCTGTACATACAAAAATGAGAACAGTATGAGGGGACTCACGTGTTTGAATTTATCGGAGAACAGTCAATGGTATGATATTGTCCACTTTGAGCATAAGCTCTTATGGCTTTGCTTTTGGTTTCCTCGTACCAATAGAGATGTATTCCTTACTTGTAAACCCAGAATCGTCCCCTTAATTAGCCAATGTGGGTCTCCCTCCCAATAACCCTCAACAATCCTCCCCTCGAATAAAATACACCATAGAACCTCCCCGGAGGCCTATGTACCCCTCAAACAGCCTCCCTTTAATTGAGGCTCGACTCCTTTCTTTGAAGCCCTCGAACAAAGTACGCCCTTTGTTCGACACTTACTTCGAGGCTAGCAATTTCTTTGTTCGATACTTGAGGATTCTATTGACATGGCTAAGTTAAAGGGCATGACTCTGATACCATGTTAGGAATTACGGCCCTCCACAATGGTATGATATTGTCCACTTTGAGCATAAGCTCTCATGGCTTTGCTTTTGGTTTCTCCAAAAGCCCTCATACTAATGGAGATGTATTCCTTACTTATAAACTCACTCATGACCATCCCCTTAATTAGCCGATGTGAGACTCCCTCCCAACAACCCTCAACAATCCTCCCCTCAAATAAAGTACACTATAGAGTCCCCTTAGGCCTATGTAGCCCTCGAACAGTCTCCCCTTAATCGAGGCTCGACTTCTTTCTTTGGAGCCTTCAAACAAAGTACACCCTTTGTTCGACACTTGAGTCACTTTTGACTACAAGGCTAGCAATTCCTTTGTTCGACACTGCATGGCTAAGTTAAAGGGCATGACTCTGATACCATGTTATGAATCACGGACCTCCACAATGGTATGTTATGACTTACTTGGAATGTTATTGATATCAAGCCTCATAATCTTTCCAAGCAACGACTTCTTGTTCTGGGAAAAGTTGTAAGGATCACCACCTTGACCGCCGCCATCGCCCATCATGAAGTAAAGGTAACCATCTTCCCCAAAGAGTATCTGTCCTGCATGACGAGAGGTAAAAGGAAGACCAATTGTGATTATTCTTCTCACTTCTGTTGGTTTTGCAGTTGTTGCCTGAAAACAAGAATTGATATTCCATTTGATCCCACAAGCTTAAACCCAGAAAGCATTCAAAAATAAGCTAAGTGTTTAGAGATTTATACCAATGAAGGCTGGGATGCACTGCCGTTTACAGTGTACTCTGCAACAACACTTTGATGCTGACATGGTTGGGATCCGCTATCAGATGGTAGTTTAGAAGGATCACAATTAACGTCAGAATTACAAGAACATCTTCCAGAACACCCTGGCCACTTAACTTTGTCACAATTGAAAGAAGCAAAAAACCTTCCATTTTGTGCAAAATTTGGATGAAATGCAAGCCCCATCATGCCAAATTGAGTATCTAAGTTAACTACATCGGTTAAATCTACGAACGGTTTTGATTCGTCAAGCTCCAACATTCCTCCTGACCCCATCTCGGGAATAGTGGCTAACCAAACCTTGCCTGCTTGGTTAGAGAAGAATGCACGATTAGATCCATCAGGATGAGCCACCATGTTCAGGTAAGATCCATTTCCAATTTTCTCAAGACATAGGCCATCTGGAGGGCTAGGAAGTTTGGTATTGTTAAGGGAAACAGGTTCACCAACAAAGCAGACTGATTCTTCAGTGGATGATCCTCCAAATGCATTGCAAAAGTCGGTTTTCGACAGCCAGAGATCCGAGAGCTTGCTAGTACTCGAGTTAGTCGGTACTCCCGCTCGACCCTGTAAAGAAGGGGCAAAGGGGGAGTTGACAATGGTGATATTTTGGCATGTATCCCATACTGTAGAGCAGAAGTCAGTGGCTGCTTGGTTGGATTGTGGTGAATTTTCTGAAGTTGAGTTGCAAAGAAGAGGAACTGATCTAGGCGTGGAATTGACTATATATAGATCTCCCGAAAATGGATCACACCTCTGTAGATATGATAAGAAGGAAGACAAATTTGTATTAAGGTTAGAGATACAGATACCACAAGTAATAAGTATCCAAGATGATCATGAAACAAGTCCAATCAGTCTACCATATAAACTAATGTCCATATCAGGTTATTACGCTAAGGTGAATCCTTACCGTAAACAAATGTAGAAATACTAGAATGTGAGATCCTACGTCAGTTGGAGAGGGGAACGAAACATTACTTATAAGGCTGTGGAAACCTCTCTCTAACAGACGCATTTTAAAACAGTGAGGCTAACGGTGATATGTAATGATCCAAAGCGGACAATATCTACTAGTGGTGGACTTGAACTATTACAAATGGTATCAGATTCGGTTCTAGGAGATTTGTCAGTGAGGACGCTGGGTCCCCAATAGGGGTGGATTGTGAGATCCCACATCGATTGAAGAGGAGAACGAAGCATTCCATATAAGAGTGCGGAAACATCTCCCTAGTAGACGCGTTTTAAAACCGTGAGGCTGATGATGATACATAACGAGCCAAAGCGGACAATATCTACACCTAGAGAGTTTATAAATAAATACTGATCTTTGTTCTCATCCTCTATATTGAGATATATCATAAGACCAATAATTTGATTCGAGATCTCGCTCTCAACCTCTTGGCCTAAAAAAAGTATTCTTTGTCGATAAAGTTTCATTCAATCCATAAACACGTGTAATCCCATCTCCAACTGAGACCACAACGGTGGGCTTGAGCTGTTACAAACGGTATCAGAGCCGATCACCAGGCAGTGTGCCAGCGAGGACGCTGGTTTCTCATGGAGGGTGGATTGTGAGATCTCACATCAGGTGGATAAAGGAATAAAGCATTCTTTATGAGGGTGTGCAAACCTCTCAGACGCGTTTGAAAACCGTGAGGTTGACAGCAATACGTAACGAGCCAAAACGGACAATATCTGCTAGCAGTGGGCTTGGGCTGTTACAAATGGTATCAGAGCCAGTCACCGGGCGGTGTGTGCAGTTGAAGAACAGGTGAAAAGAGAGATAGCAGAAACCAACTTCTCTTTAGAAATCATTTAGCTATTATCATATCATGACATAGTTCCTATAGAACCTCCACAAAAGCCTCAAGCAAACAGGCTACTAACTAAGCATTAATATATGTTGTTTTAGGGATCAACCAGGCTTACCGCACAGACAATGGATTTAACAAGGGAAGAACAGGCAGGATCAGAAATGTTCATCCCTTGGAATTGTCTCTGTATATCTCCATCTTGTGTAGAGTTGCAGCAAACACTCCCCTTATAAGGACAAAACTCCAATGTAGAGTTCAAAGTAGAGGGCGCCGCTACAGAGAAAAAGGGTTTTCAGTAGAATTAGTAAACACTAAACCAAGTAAAAGAGAAGAACAAGAACCTACTTGAATCAGAGCACAAGGGAAGTGAAACTGTAGGATGAACAAGCAGCAGAAGCCCACAGAGGAAGAGGATGAACCCAATGAAACGCCCCATAGCCCCAAATAGATGAAGAACAGAGAGAGCTAGAGAGAGAGAGGGAAAGAGATGTTCTTCAGTCCATCCCTTGGGATAAGCTCAGGAAAACCAGGACATACGGTAGAAAGATTGTAAATAGTCTAAAAGGGCTGTCAGACAGCATTTCAAGCTAAAAGAAAAGACAACATGGTGGCCATGACTGACTTCAAAATCTCATACCCTTAGACTTTGTTTAATCCCATCTTCAAAACGCACTGTCTGTGTCAAGAAATGATACATTACAAACCCCTTTGGATCCCCTTCAAGATCTCGACATGTTTCCTTCGAATCATATGAATATTATAGGTCAAATATATCAGAGCTTCTTTTAATGGATATTGAAAACCTGTTTCGTTGACTTTACTTGCATTTGCTGTCGAATTGAATACGATTGTTGAGAAACCCACTGGTTCTGCGAAAGTAATTCAAGTCGGATAAGGCTACCGTTGAATTGAAATTCGTCGCCATATCTCCAATCAATGGTTTCCGAACCTAACTCCACCAAAAAGTGAACCGAAAGGACAAAAGTTTCAAATTTTAGAGGAACCCACTTGGATTTATTAACGGGGAAAACAAGAATTGCAATGACGGGTCGGTACAAAGACTAAGGGCGTAGTCAATCTGAGTTGATGACTCGCACTTATTAAGAATTCTTCATTAAAGACCAACAATTACAATGATCTATCTTCATCACAATGAAATTTTAAAGATTACTTGTGCTTGTCGACCAAGGCTATAGACTCGTTGAATACATCGGTGTAGCACGTGTATGACCCATAACATTTAAGGGTATCACAGCGTGTTATTACCTCAAACTTTCTTGGTCTAAACGGCCATTGTCTCTCTAGGATTGTTTTCTTCATCGGTTTCGCTAATACCAATTCTAGTTTGTGTTTCTCATTCATACAGCACGTTTTAGTAGAATTATTGTGATTGTTATTCATAATTTGTCCACATGCACTTGTTTCAGATTAAACAAAAGAATCCAAAATTTAAAAAATGGGATCACTTCTTATGGACTCGTTGAGAATGATTCTGATCTAGTTCACTACGATCATTGGAGAAACAATACCTAAACTGAAAAGGAAATGGCCGGTATCGCTCAGTTATCAGTTAGTAGAGCAGGGGACTGAAAATCCTCGTATTACCGATTCAAATCTGGTATGAAAATAAGTCTATATTCTATGCCATTTGGAAGGTTTGAGAGGTGACCCAACAATTTTTTATTCGGCACTAACGTTAGTGATCTTTACTTTTTTCTTTTGGTGAAAGTCCAAGTAAGATCGTGATGATGAGCTAATGGTGATTCGTTCATGCTGTAGGCAAGTTGAAAGGGTAAGTTAATTCTAGCCAATTATATTAGGGGTAGGATTATCTGGCCAGGTCACATTAATGAACATGTTGTAATAAACTCACCTCGAACCAAAGTCTATTAGACTGACACCCCTCGATCTAAACACTAACCTATGTGTTAAACATGTTGGATACAAAGAGCGATATAAGACTTGACTCCACTTGGTCTAACCATAGACTCGAGTGTAAAAACGACAAAAAACACCACACCAAGTATGCTCCTTGCACGTTAGTTCAACACCTCGACTGTGGACTTATGTACTTGTGTGGAACGTGTGAGTTTTTCATTTTCCTTTGGGTGATCAAAGAAAAGAATCCAAAAAAAAAATATTGATTTGAAAAGAATTCACTCAAATGTATCAAATCTGAAAAATAAATTCTCTAATTTTTATCTGAACTGAATTGTTTATCTTAACAGATAGATTTAAGAGAGAAATCCAGAGCTGCTTCAATTGCTTCAATGAAATAACGAGGCCAAGTTTCCTTGACAACCGTCAGTAGCAAGCCCCAGAAAGTAAGGGTAAAATTAGCATGGCATCCATTCGAAATAGAATCTGATGAACAATTTCCAATTTTTCCAAAGTATAAGACTGTCTACATGACACAATACAAGGCCTAAGTTAATGCCCCTATCAAGAAATGCAGCAGTACCACTAATGCTGGTATATGCTACCCTCATACGATGCGGCAAAGCAAACCTTGAAGAGACAGAGGCAATGATGATCCCCAAATCTGCCCTCAGTTCGGTTTCTTTAGAGCTCGAAGACAGTTCGACCATCTATAGAGTGAACCGATTCAAGTAAGTTCGTACAAGCCATTTGTTTCTCATCCTTTCTTCCAATATAAACTGGTTCAACGTCTCATCCATCAAGAGCGCCGAGGGCTTTCATGTCCTCCAAGAAAGCCATATATGAGTCATCAATACACTGTTTCTTTGGGGCTGATGAGGAGCTGACCAACTCCGGTTTCCCTAAAATAGAAGCTGTGCGAATGGATGGTGCTGCTGCAGTTGATGGGGAAGGCTTCGGTTTCGCTTTCGGTGCTGCAATCTCTCTTCTTACTCTCACTGATGCCGGAACCTGAATAAGTGACATAGTATAAGTTTGCAATATATTCCTGAGGTTAGAGCAGAATAAGATAAATTGTACAGTGAAGCTTTCTAATTCCCAAGTGCTATGGACCAAAGCTACATGTTGGTTTAGGTAGAACTGCTTAGACAAACACATCTCAACCTATAAATTTCATGTCTAGTAAGAACATCATAATTTTATCCTCACCTCCATACTCAGGTAGCTTGAACATTTGTCAAGGGGTTCCCGCACGAAAATTCCTTTTTCAGGCATGAATTGCCCTTGACCAGCCCCCAATTCACTCCCTTTTTGTGATACATTTCAAAATATGTACCTTCTTCTAAATGCTCTTAGCTAATAATGAAGTTATTAAAGAAATTTTACTTAAGTTGGGTTGAAATCAAAGATTCAAACTACGAAAGCAGACAACCAATTATAAATATAATCAGTTTAGTTTAAGTAGGTGGCTAATTATAAGTTATAGTTATCTTCTTGTAATATATTTCCTTGTCATCTTTAGCAAATAGTATCCATTCCCTGAGAGCTTGCCAGCCATATACAACAGCTGCCAGCTTGGAATATTTTATATTAAACTCGCTAATGAAGGGGAAGTTTGTGGTACTATGCGATGGCAATGGTGTACCCTAGCATTCCTAGTATCAATGACAGCACATTTTTAGAGTCAAATTGCACCAGACAAGCATATTAAGACATCTTACCATTGCTGTAAGTTCTGGAGTATGCTGAGCTAGTGGACGCTTAACAACAGTCGACGCAGCAGATTTAACATACGAGGGCTTTTGAGGGACAGGTGGCATAAGTAGGTTATGGTCATCCTCATGAAAAGTGGGAGGAGGGCCAGGAGGAAGAGGTGGTCTCATCATGGGTGGAGGTCCAAGGGGAGGCCCAAATGGAGGCCTTGCCATTAACGGGACCATCATTCCGGGTGGGAGCGGGAGTCCAGGTTGAGATAATGTTGGCCGCATATCTGGCAGAGGTGGAGGTGGGGGGAATCGAGAAATTCCAGGGGGTAATATATCGGGATGCAAGGTTGGTATCAATGAAGGCCCAGGTACTGGAGGAGGTCTTGGAGGTGGAGGTGGAGGAACCAGTTTAGAAACGTCGTTAGCCACTGAAAAATTATTTGTCTCCTCATCACCTGATACGCCTTCAGAATGATCGTTTGCAGACTTTAGAGGCATCCCAGGTGGGGGAGGAGGTGGCGGGAGAGCAGTCGGCACCTAAATGAAGGAGACCAATAAGAATGTTAGCTTGCAAACAGTTATTATAGATAAGTACTTATAGCTCATGTAACTAAACATATACAACATGCATATAGCTTTTTTCTACGCACAGACAAGTCAAGTAAAGAAACCAGGACCCAGGCTAGTTAACTTATCTCACATGGTGTAGTGAGCCTCAGCCACTTTCAGTTCCATTCCATGTGAAGGAGAAGTTAAACAAAGAGATTACCTGTGCTGGCCCCTTGGAGGTTGAATCGTCCAAAAATGCAGGCCGACTTCTATCCTTTTCACCTTCGCTGGATCCAGGAGGGTGCATCATAGTTGACTGCTGCAAAGATGGAGGCAGCATAAAGGGAGGGCGACCAGCAACTTGTTCCCTTGGTGGAGGTCCAGGAGGTGGTGGAGGCAACGATTGTAAACCCATGTTTGATGTTACAGGCTTAGGTGGCAACGGCGGAGGAGGAGGTAGAGGTAAAGAATCAGGTGGAGCTGAACCATCAGCAGAGCTCATGTTAGCAGATTCTGGCAAAGGAGGGGGTGGGGGAGGTGGAGGTACAGCCAAGGGAACATCCTCTGGCTCTATGTTTGAGGATGATGCAACACCACTTGTAGAAGCATCAGACAGAGGAGCTCTTGGTCCTATGTATTCAGACAAAAATTCAGTGAAACATCAAATCATAAAAACGCCCCCATAAATTTCTGCTTTACTGCAAGATCGAAGTGGAAGTTAACTTACCGATTGATGATTTAAACATTGGAGGCTTCCCAGGTGGTGGAGCTCCAGTAGGATTTAGTGTGGGGTGGTAGTAAACAGAGTCCTGAAATGGCAGAAAAGTATCAAATTTAAATCCAGGAACGCAACGCAAGGAAAGATATAAATGGCCAGATAATCAATTAGAGTTTGCTCACTTCAGGATTTGGATGTTTCGCTCTCTCTTCTTCCTCTTCAGCTGTTCGTCTTCTTGGAGGTCCCAAATGACTGACCAGAGACAAAAAAAACAGTGCTTGAATATAAACCATAGTATTTTTCGGATTTAACAGCATGAAAAGCAAAAGCACTTTAAGTGTAAGATAGCCTTTCATACCTGAACATAACTGGGACCTCACCCTTTTCCTTCATCTTCTCTTCATATTCCTGTCCAAGAGAGTAGCAAGATGATTGTTGGGATCAAGGCTTGCTGTCAATGTGCAAACTAAAGGAAAACCACGAAGTTGAATATATTGGATGCTTAGCTTGAATAGTGGTTGTAACATAGCCATAGAACGCTAGTACAAGACCATTGGTGGAACAGAAAAAAAACTTACGTAAAGTTAACATGAATGTGTGTGTTTCAGTAAATAATCATAACATTACAGGGGATCAGTTCTCACTCTCCATAACAATTATGTCTAAAATCTTAGTAACAAATGTGAGATCCCACATCGATTAGAGAGAGGAACAAGTGTCAGCAAGGATGTTGGGCCCCGAAGGGGGTGGGTTGTGAGATCTCATGTCGATAGGAGAGGGGACCGAGTGTCAGCGAGGACGCTGGGCCCTGAAGGGGGTGGATTGTGAGTTTCCCAATTGATTGGAGAGGGAAACGAAGCATTCTTTTTAAGAGTGTGGAAACCTCTCCCTAGCAGACGCGTTTTAAAAACTTTGAGGGGAAGCCCAAAGAGGACAATATATGCTAGCCCAATTGGGGCTGTTACACAAAATAACTTTTATGGATGAAATCTCTCAAGAAGTTATTAGATGCAAAATTACCTTCCTCTTCTTTAATACAAGATTAAGAGTATCTTCCAACTGCCTTTTCTTGTGCTTTCTAGCCTTATCGAGTGCGCCATCGGCCTCTGCATAAAAACCAAAGAGATAAACATCTTGATGTTGATCACGAGGAACCAAGATAAGAAAATAGGCCTCTCAAATCAACAAAGAAAGCTGAAGAAAGTTAATAGAGTTCATAAAGATTGCAACTTACTCATTATTTCCAACTTTTGAATTTGCTCCTTTATTGTATCAGGATCTTTCTTCAAAATTCCCACCTCCCTTACCTTTTTCCTCTCTTTCTTATTCTGGTACGCATACATTAACAGTTGTTATTAGAGGTTATTTATTTGAATCCAATCATGGACAATCACATCACAAAAACACTAATAACCGGAAAAAAAAGGCAACCTGTAAGGGGATTTACATGGTTCATAAACAGATTTAGTTTTTCCTCTTATGCACAAATAACTTCAACCTCCAAAGTTCTAAATTCCATAAATGCACCAAACTTAAATTTAATGTCATGATTCCAAGAATCTTTCCAAAACCTGAGCTTACTATTACTTAACTCTAATACTAAGTTAAATAAGTCCAAAAGGGAACTATGTGAGATCCCACGTCGGAGGACGCTAGACCCCAAAGGGGGTAGATTGCGAGATCCCACATCGGTTGGAGAGGGGATGAAACAATCTTTGTAGAGTGTGGAAACCTCTCCCTAGCATACACGTTTTAAAACTGTGAAGCTAACTGCGATATGTAACAGATCAAAGCGGATAATATCTGCTAGCGATGGGCTTGGCTGTTACAAATGGTATCAGAGCTAGGTACCAAGCGATGTGCCAATGAGGACGTTGAGCCCTGAAGGGGAATGGATTGTGAGATCCCACATTGATTGGAGAGGAGAACAAGTGTCAATGAGGACGCTGAGCCCAGAAGGGGGTGAATTGTGAGATCCCACATCGGTTGGAGAGGGAAACGAAACATTCTTTATAAGAGTGTGGAAACCTCTCCCTAACATATACATAACGGGTCAAAGCGGACAATATCTACTAGTGGAGTGGGGTGAGCTTTGACCGTTAAATACTACTTCTTCAAAATTGATTTCTAGTTGTCAACCATCAATTAGTGACAATATCTAGGCCCTGCAACTCCAAGAACATACCGACAATGTTCCAATGAATGAGAAGGTAATCTCCTTCTTTACATACTCCTTACCACAAGAAAACCCCAATAAACTTCTCAATTTCATTATCAATAATGAAATATCCCTTTTCAAAGGAAATATAAATGAAGTAAGAATATCAGAGATAGAAACTTTGATCCAGTTTCGCTACATTAAAAGTTAACTTTCTGCAACACAAGAAGATTCTCTATTCAGTCCCAATCTTCCAAAATGCAACAGTTTTGGGACAATAACGAAAAGTAAAGCAAAATTAACAGAAGAATCTTGTGATATCTCACTTATCTAAAACCCTCAATCTAAATGCAGGCACAATCCTTCAGAAATGGATTGGCAAATCCCTAAATACATCCAACCGAGCTACTGTATCCAATCAATTTCAATTGCTAGCAAAAAGAGAAGGCGATAAATAGAAATCACAGCACTATGGCAAACAACACAAAAGGATGAACGAAAACAAGGCTTGAATGAAGAAGGCAGCAATGAGATGAATTGGTGGTACTAAGGAGTTGACTAAGGAGCGAAAATCCAAAAATTAATGGTCTGAGAAACAATTACCCGTTTCAATTCCTTCTTGCGAAGCTCCTTCCGATAAGCATCAGTAGGGTTCATCACCTTACCTCCTTTGGTCGTCTTCATCTTCCCCTTCCTCTTTCTCTCGCAAACTTTATCCCTTCAATTCTTCTTCTTCTTCTTCTTAAAATTGTTGCAGCGACCGTTCTTCTTCTTCGGAGACGAAAAATCTCGAGGCGGAAACCAGAAATTTGGGCGGCAGAGAGAGAGAGAGAGAGAGGGGCTGAGACAGGGCGACAATGGAAGCTCGCTCTCTTTTTCCTCTGAACCCCGAAATGCGTCTTATTCGACATGAACGACGCATCGTCTTCAGATGTAAGTATGCGACATGTCGTTCTAATATGTGTGGATAAAGAATGGAGAAAATCCAATTTTTACCTTAAAAAAGCCTTAATTTTACTAATTATATTAAAATTCAAGAATTTACACGAAATTAAATATTATTTTTTAAAAAACTCTATAATTTAAATAAATATTAAATTCTTGTATTTTTTTTTTAATCTAATATTAAGATTAAAAAATATATAGTATAGTTATCTATAGCCCATTAGCCCATTATATGGTTTCCTTCTGGGCCATTTCTCTTATTGGGCCTCGAGATTTTCTGGGCTCAACAAATATAAAATATTAATTTCATTTTAGGGATTAACTTTTTTTTTATGCTAATTAATTGCAATTCTCTAAAAAAATTTCATAAGACTACTTTGCAATTTGCCCCCTCCCCCTCCCTCTCGAGACACGTTTTGTTCGCTCTTCTTTAATATTGTGAGATCCCACGTGGGTTAAAGAGGGGAACAAAACATTTGTTATAAGGTTGTGGAAACCTCTCCCTGATAGACGTGTTTCAAAATCACGAGGCAGACGATGATACATAACAAGTAAAACGAACAATATCGGCTAGCAATAGACTTGGATTGTTACAAATGGTGTTAAAGCTATATGTCGGGCGGAGTGCCAGCGAGGATGTTGGGTCCCCAATAGGGGTGGATTGTAAGATCTCACATTGGTTGGGAGAGGGTAACGAAGCATTTCTTATAAGGGTGTGGAAACATCTTCCTAACAATCTCTGCTAACAGTAGAGTTTGACCGTTACAAATAATATCAAAGTCAAACATCTGTTGGGCAATAAAGACGCTAGGTTCTCAAGGGGTAGACTGTAAAATCCCACATCTATGACAACAAAGTCATCAAATGGGTAGACTGTAAGATCCTACATCTAGAGAGGGGAACGAAACATTCCCCAGAGTAGAATCCTCTCCATTTTTTAGTTCCAACCACGGTCTTCATTATAAGCAAAATTTAATGCTATTTTATTAAAAACATTATATTTTAAATAAAATAATAATTTGTTTTATTTTTAAAAAAATTAATTTAACCGACTTAATATTATATCCTATATTACGGAATAAAATATCAAATATTCAAATCTCTCCATCACACTTAATTTTTTTTTTAAATTAATAAATAAAATAAAACGTAAATATAATTTTTTATTTTTTACAAAAACTAATTTGAATATAACTCAAATTTAAACTTAAAAAATTAAAAAAAAATTATTTTTTTACAATAAAGGTTTTATAAATTATATATTTAAATATAAATTATAAAATAGAAAAGGAGGGAAATATTAAAAAAAAAAAAAAAAAATTCTTCATTATATTTGTTGACTTTGGGTTTGCAATCATACAAAAATTTCAACTAAATTGGCTTAATGATCAAGAAATTACAAAGCATTCATTGTCCTTTTCTCATGCCATTGACCAATATAAAAGTCTCTTTCCCGTCTCCTATCTTAATATACTCGATACCTTAGACTGTTTCTATCGTGATCAGCTTGATAATAATTTTATTTTTTTAAATTAAATAATACTAATTTTCTATTTTTAAATAATTATCCCACATGAAATTATGGAGTTTAATTAATTAATTTATATATAATGGAGGAACCTTTGGAGTTTTATTAATTAATATAATTATTAATTTAAAATAATTTAGATGTTTTTTTGGACCAGGAAAAATCGAATTGGTCAATGTCCTTAAAGCCCTCAGCTGGTGAACCACTTCAACAATTACTCGGTAAATCTTGACCTTTCATCAATCTCACCAACAATATTTTGCAAGATGGACGGCTGAGATTGACTCTATGATTAGATACTATATATAATTTAATAAAAGTTTAATATAAAGTAATTCAAACTAGTATTAAAATACCAATTGCTCAAATAATTTATTAATTAAAAGTCATAAATATTAATTAATGATTAATTATGTTGTTTCCTTTTGCTAACTATATTAATAAATGATTTTTTTTTTCAATAAACGAGACAAATATTATTATCGACCCCAATAATTTTTTTAACAAGAAAAAAACAACTTTTCTCTTGTCACGAAAGCTCGTTATATAAAAAGACGAACATTCGAATCTGAAGTCTTAGTGTAGATAAGGAAAGATAGTTTTTCTATCATTACTTACAAGACTCGAACATAGACCAGCGAGCAGAGTGTCACGATTATGAGCGTGTTGCCTGTGGCCGCACGACGGATATCCCGATCATGTTAGTCTAAGATGTGTTGTCCATAGCTGCATGCCCGTTCCAACCCCATTTTTTTACTATTATTATTATGTCAATATGGGGGTGTACAACCGTTCACAAAAATCATGTCTATACTTGTAAGAGGCTAAAATGTCCCAAAAGGTATGGTAAATAGATATGATTAGTTGTCACTTATTCTTACTCAGTTTATATGCTATCAGAGTCGTTGTTGCTGCCTAATCACTTTTAGCTTATAACATTGTTTTTTTTTTTTCAAATTGTTTTCGAACGTATTTTCTTGCTCATGTTTTCTAAAATATTTTTCGCAAACGTGACTTGAGGCTCGAGCATAGGCCAATGTTGTCTGTTAGGTTCGAATTTCTCACGGTTGACTTGTTCACTAAGTTAGAACAGGTGTTGTACAATTGCTGTCCCGCTGCCACAGAGCCCCGAGAACAAGAAAAATATGCGAGGAAGAGAGAGAGGGGGAAAAATTAATTTAATTTTAAAAAATCTCAAAATTTGTAAAAATTAATTTCAATCGCGTAATAAAAAAGAAGAAAAATATATATGAAATACTAAAACTATATGTTTTTTAATGTTTAAATTAATTAATTAATTACTCCAAATAATAATTCCCCGACTTCCCAATTTGCCCTTTTCAACGAATATTCTAATAATTAGAAATCATTACCATGATTTTTTTTTCTTTCAAAATACCTTATTTATTTCTCAACCGACCCCGCGTTTTCTTTCTCTCCTACATTTATCTCCTCGCCGATAACTACCTGACTCGCCGGCGGTGACTGTATCCACGGCGACGATCGCAGGGGACTCGAATTTTCATCGGGGATCGAGGACGAGGAACTTGTTCTTGTGATTCTTGTAGGAGGATGGGAAATTGTAACGCGTGTGTGAGGCCGGAGACTACAGAGGACGACTCGTCGGTGAATCGGAAGAAGAATGATGAAGACCGGAAATCATCAAATCCATACTCTCGGGATTCTGTTGCTAGGTCGCCAGCTCCGCTTAGGGTTTTGAAAGATGTGATGCCGCTCAGTCACCGGACGCGAATCAGCGATAAGTATATACTGGGGCTTGAACTTGGCCGTGGAGAGTTCGGGATCACGTACCTGTGTACCGATAAAGAGACGAAGGAGTCTTTGGCTTGTAAATCGATTTCAAAGAGGAAGCTGAGGACTGCGGTGGATATAGAGGATGTGAGACGAGAGGTTGCTATAATGTCGAATTTGCCTGAGCATCCGAATATAGTGAAGCTTAAAGCGACCTACGAGGACAGCAAGAACGTTCATCTAGTTATGGAGCTTTGTGCAGGAGGTGAGCTTTTCGATCGGATTGTAGCTAAAGGACACTACACCGAGCGCGCTGCAGCAAACGTTGCGAGAACAATCGCTGAAGTGGTAAGGATGTGCCACGCTAATGGTGTTATGCACAGAGACTTGAAGCCTGAGAACTTTTTGTATGCGAACAAGAAGGAACATTCACCGCTTAAAGCGATTGATTTCGGTCTCTCTGTGTTCTTCAAGCCTGGTAAATTCGTTGGCCTCTGATTTTGGTACTTCAATTTTCTTTTAAGTTCCTCTGAATCTATGGCTATTAATTTCGTGGGGTTCTTCATTGATTTTGTTGCTGAATCATAAGTGCTTTTATTGTTGCGGGATTTTAGGGGAGAAGTTCACGGAGATAGTGGGAAGTCCATACTACATGGCGCCAGAAGTACTGAAAAGAAACTATGGACCAGAGGTTGATCTTTGGAGTGCTGGTGTGATATTGTATATTTTGTTGTGCGGGGTTCCTCCATTCTGGGCTGGTAACATGGTGTTCTTTGCTATTTTTAGTCCTGTCCAAATCTAAGTTAATTTGATTTCAAGATCAGTTAAATGGTTAAGTTTTCTAATGGTTGCTATTTTGGGAATCTGTTCTTAGAGACTGAACAAGGAGTAGCTCTGGCAATTTTGAGGGGCGTACTTGATTTTAAGAGGGAACCATGGCCACATATTTCAGAGAGTGCTAAAAGCCTTGTCCAGCAGATGTTGGAGCCAGATCCTAAAAAGCGCTTAACTGCTCAGCAGGTGCTTGGTAAGTAGCTCGGCTCTTTTTATTCAGACATTTTGCTAGTCGAGTTATGACTATGAAGTTGCAACTATTGCTATCTCTTTCTCTTTTTCCATCTGAATCTTGAATCTGGGTTTAGTGTATTTTTCTCATCTCCGGATGTTTATAATTTATTTGAGTACCCGAAACGAGAAGTATGTGGAGATCTTCCATTTGGTTCAGTTCTTATGTTAAGATCCCTAATCCGGTTGGAGTGGGGAACAAAGCATTCTTTGGAAGGGTGTAGAAACCTCTCCCGATCAAACACGTTTTAAAACCTTGAGGGGAAAATCTAAAGTATCTGCTAGCGGTGGGTTTGGGCTGTTACATTTCAGTCTAGCTACAATCCGCTAAATCTCTAGTCTAAGGAAAACAATATCTGCTAGCGGTGGGCTTGAGCGGTTACATCTTATAATTGAGTGTAGCTGCAATCAGCTAGAACCCTAGATCAAATGGTGAAATATATGATTTTTCACCATTTTTCCAACAAAAAATGATTCGTTGTTTACTGTGTTCTATTTCACTGCATCTCTCTTAGTTATCATTCAGGTCGATTTTTAAGCATATCATACTGATTTGCATGGGCATTGAAGCTATCGGTTTAAGTACGAAGTCCTATGGTTATTTTTTCTCATGGTTTTTATCGTTTGTTTCAACTACAAGTCATATTTCAGTACTATTAATACTTGAAGCAACGAAGTTTTGCAATTTTATCATCATAGTCAAATTAATAGAAAAGGGCATCGTGAGATCCCAATCAGTTGGAGAGGGGAACGAAACATTATGTATAAGGGTGTAGAAACCTCTCCCTAATAGACGCGTTTTAAAACTGTGAGGCTGATGGCAAGGGTCAAAGCAAACAATATCTGCTAGTAATGAGCTTAGATTGTTACAGGCATTGTGAAGATGTTGTTAGTACATCGAGTGACGTTGAACAACATATACCAATAATTATCATTGTTTCATTTTAATAATTGTTCTCTATCACGTAATGTTCCTTTACTTGGCCAAATTAATGCATTGCTAGTTTACTTAATGCTGCTTCTCTTTTCAATGTAAGTTCCTCTCTTGGGTTAATTTTTTATTTCTGAAATGCCTCTTGTTTCAACTAGTTATTGGTGGGAGCTGTTAAGGGCTGACTTGGTCAATTCTGGGTACTGTTTGATTTATTCAGCAGACATAGAAAGTTGGTTATTATGCGTGTGCCCCAATGAAATTTACGAACAAAAACTAGAAAGCAATATTGATTCATTGGTCAAGCTTTGAATCAGTCTGGCACCTGTCTAGTCTGTATTCTTTTTAACATGATATATTTGGCGTCCTTTGATGTCATGTCAGACATCTCTATTATTTGGAGATTAGAGAATCTGTTTCTATGTATTTTTCATGGAAATAAAGATTTCCTTCATGATTGTGATTGCCGTACTCCAATCTTGCTTTATTATCATGTTCAATACAGATATATAATCATTTTCCCTAATTTGGAAGTTTGGTTCCTGGCTGAATTATCCAACCATAACAGCATGTCATTTAGCAAAACAATGTCACATAGCACCATCTTTTCCGCAGCATGGATTCCATTTTTATCTTCTTACTGCTTTCTCATCGTAATTGCAGATCATCCTTGGTTACAAAATGCAAAGAAAGCTCCAAATGTTCCACTAGGGGATATTGTAAGGATGAGGCTCAAGCAGTTCTCTGTTATGAATAGGTTCAAAAAGAAAGCCCTAAGGGTAAGCCTTAAAGTGATATATTATTGTCCTTTGAATTTTACTGAATGGTATTGCCATCTTGAGTATCAACTGGTTAAGACATCATACACGTACATTAAGGGTCGTTGGTGAACTCTTGAGAAAAATAACTGAATGGTATTACAGTGATGGAATTCATATTAACTAGAAGATACTTGAATTTCTAATATGTTTAGGTGATAGCAGAGCACTTATCTGTTGAAGAAGTTGAAGTGATCAGAGATATGTTTTCTTTGATGGACACCGACAATGATGGGAAGGTATCTTTTGAGGAACTGAAGGCAGGGCTAAAAAAGGTCGGCTCACAATTGGGTGAGCCCGAGATGAAAATGCTCATGGAAGTGGTAATTTCTATGTTCTAAAATGCAGTCTGGAATTTGTTTATGGTTTCAAGTTTATCCCTGAGTATGCTTAATCTATGCTTACTCTTTTTACTTGAATGATTCGTGAGCTTTCCAATTACTTTTCCTGATCTTGTGTTTCCAAATCGCAACGTTCTTCCCCATGTTCTTTCCTAATGTACTGTTGGAATAGGAATTCATTTCAACCATTTTTATCTTCGAACATTTGACGTGAAATGCTGACTGATAACTAGAGACGCAAACTTTTCTTCTGCTTGAATTGAAGTTAGAATTATGTTGATATTACATATTGTGAATTATGTTGACCGATCGTCTGTTCTTGACAGGCTGATGTTGATGGTAATGGTGTACTGGATTATGGGGAGTTTGTAGCAGTTACAATACACTTGCAGAGGATGGAAAATGACGAGCATTTTCGCAGAGCATTTATGTTTTTTGATAAAAATGAAAGTGGGTTCATTGAATTAGATGAGCTACGGAAAGCCTTGGCGGATGACGCAAGTGAAACGGATAGTGATGTGCTGAATGAGATCATGCGCGAGGTTGACACAGATAAGGTGAGACTTCTAGTCCACTTATTTTCTATCTCTCGACTCGATTCTCCCATAAACCAAAAGAAAAACAGAATTTGTATTTGCTCTACTTTAGGTATTATCAATTTAGAGACAAAATTAAATCACAATCACCAATAAGACCAATAACAACCTTTTTAGATAGTTGTCTCGTGAGAGTAGCTAATGTGTGCACAAAGGGGTGGATTGTGAGATCCCACCTCGGTTGGAAAAGGGAATGAAACATTTCTTATAAAGATGTGAAAACCTTTCCTTAGTAGACGCATTTAAAAATTGTGAGACTGACGATGATACGTAACAGGTCAAAGCGAACAATATTTACTAGCACTTGGGCAGTTACAAATGGTATCAGAGTCAGATATTGAGTGATGTGCCAGCGAGGACACTGGACCCCTAAGGGGTGGATTGTGAGATCCCACATTGATTGGAGGGGAAAACAAAACATTCTTTATAAGGGTGTGGAAACCTATCACTAACAGATGCTTGCGGCAATACATAACGGGTCAAAGCGAACAATATCGACTAGTAGTGTATTTTGGCTGAAAATAAAGAATAACTATTAAAATTACTGCACAACTTGTTCGCCAAAAAGCTCAAGAGGGGATGGGAGTGTTGGATGATGAAAATCCCAACTTTGCTAATTTAGGGAATGTTCATGAGTTTATAATCAAAGAATACTCTCTCATTTGGTGTGAGATTTTTTGGTGAAGCCCAAGCCTATGCTCAAAGTGGACAATATCGAACGAGTAGTGTTTATGAAAATGGAGCTATTGCACTAATTTTCAGGACGGACGAATAAGTTACGACGAGTTCGTGGCCATGATGAAAACTGGAACAGATTGGCGAAAGGCATCAAGGCAGTATTCAAGAGAGAGGTTCAAGAGTTTGAGTCTGAACCTAATGAAAGACGGATCGTTGCAACTTCATGATGGGGTCACAGGAAAAGCCGTTGTGGTGTGAAGTAAATTCATTTTCTGATCTTAGTTTTCAAACGGCAAGATTTATATGTACCAGGATGAGCTTCTTCCACCATTGGAGCAAATCTTCTCCTGGATCTCATGGAGGTACAGTAAATAGACATTTCATCCCTGAAATCCTTTTTACCTGTATATTTTTCTTACATTATTTACCTGTGATGATTTACTGAAGCTTCGTAACTTTGAAAGAAGGGTAAAAACATAAACACCAAAGAGAAAAAAAGAAGAAGAAGAAGAAGTAGAAGAAGAAGATGTTAGAATTGCTTGTTGGGATCTGAGTTTGAGCAAAAAAATTTAATGATTTCTGTTTGTACAGATTGGAAACACTCCAAATTTAATGATTTTAGATGACAGCCATAGGTTCATGCATTTATAATGGTTTTTTAGGTTGGAAAATCATATTTGGGGTTAGAAATTAGAGACCTCTGCAATCGCATGATATTGTCCATTTTGAGTCATCGAACAACGTACCACCTTTATTCGACATTTGAAACTCATAAATTTTCGTGTATTTGCTTTGAGTTTTTTCAAAAGACTTCGTATCAATGGAGGTGTATTCCTTATAAATCTATGTAGGACTTTCTCCTAACGATCCTCGACATTTGGATCAACATTTTGACAGGTTAATGTGTGTAAGGTTGAGTAAAACCAACCCATTAATGATGGTTTGTATTCAAAGTTTTGTTATTTCTATCACTTTCAATAGGGCTATCCATCAACTGAAACTTGTGGATTTTACTCGCTTCTTACTCTCAGCCATAAATTTTCCTTACCCAAATAATCGGTGCTTTTTGTTCCATTTCATTCGGTCTATAAATTTTTACGCTATTATCTATTTGGTCTCGTAGTTTTTTAGACTGTCTAATAAATTTCAAAACTTTTAACTTCGGATGACAAGCAGTGGGATAGTAGTCCTAGTTATGAGTCAAATCAATACGTTCGAAGAAGAACATATTATTGAAATGCTAATCTCATGGTCTCGTAAGTATCATACTAAATCGTAAAAAATACGAGATATCTAAATCATACGAGTAAATCTTGTGTCTATTTTGTTATGATATAATTTAATGCATAAATTAAACATCGATATCTATTTAATCTCATAATTGGTTGTCGAATCTACAAAAATACTCTTAAATTAAAATGAAATTAAAAAATATATTTAAAATTTTCTTTTAAAAATACTATTTCAAACCAAACTTATTATTGGAAGGTTGAGAGATCTTTCAAAGAATATTTTTATTAATTTAATATTAAAGTAAAGCAACCTAACCGGGTCGGGTTTTCGCACCCCATAAACGGGTAATAACCCGAATTCACATTGTCGTGGGTCCCACGACACAATATTCTTTTCTTACATTAATTCTTTCCAAATAACCGTCAGATTCGGAGCTGGATTCTCTGCCGGTTACTCATCCGACGGCCACTTTTGCTTCTTCCCAATTCCCGGCGAGAAACACAAAACCCGCAGAGAGAGAGAGAGAGAGAGAGAGAGAGAGAGAGAGAGAGAGAACGAAGACGACGAAGAAGAAGAAGAGAGAAAGAGGGACGAATTTTTCTTCTTCTTTACAGGGAAACAGAGCTATGGGGAAGGATTACTATAACATTCTGAAAGTGAGTCGAAGCGCTAGCGATGAAGATTTGAAGAGAGCTTACAAGAGATTAGCGTTGTTTTGGCATCCAGACAAGAACCCAGCAAACAAACAAGAAGCTGAGGCCAAGTTCAAGCAAATTTCAGAGGCTTATGATGTTCTTAGCGATCCTCAGAAGCGTCAGATCTACGACCTTTACGGCGAAGAAACCCTCAAGTCCGGTAAGATTCCACCGCCTACACCTCAAGCGACGTCCTCCTCCACGTATACTCCGGTTTACCAGCATTTTCAACGCCAGCATCCTAATACTTCGACATTTAAGTTTAAACCTAGGAATGCGGATGATATTTACGCGGAATTTTTTGGATCGGAGGGTGGTGGAGGGAGTAATAGCGAGGGGGGAGGGAAGGGCAGAGGGGCTAGGGATGCGTTTTTTAGGTTTCAGAATGGGACGGAGAATGGGAGTGGTGCTCGGGGGAGGAAGGCTGCTGCTGTTGAGAATACGTTGCCTTGTAGCTTGGAGGAGCTCTACAAAGGCGCTAAGAAGAAGATGAGGATTTCGAGGAATGTGTATGATGCCTCTGGGTATGTGTCTTTTTGATTTGCCTCTTTCAAATTTCAACTGAGTGTTGCGTTGTTTTTTATTCTTATAGAACAAAATCAAGTTTGCATGTTTAGTTTGGTATTTGGGTTGTTCTTCATTGCATACCTTCTCTTGTGGATTGTATGTGGTTACTGAATTGTTTGGATTAGAGCCTGTGTTTTGACGGTGACCCCTTTGCTTTTTCAATGGAATTCTATCTCAAAGAAGGTTGAAGAATTTGTATGTCTATTGCGATGGAGTCACATGTCAATTATTCATGCTGGCAGTAAGCTTATCAAAGCTTAGACGATAAAGAATTTCTACTACTGATTGTCCTTTAGCCCCCTTTTCGTTCTGTTAGAATTACGTGATTTGATCGTAGTTGACTTCTCGGTAGGCTGACTGACCTTGTGCATTGGGTTTCTATACATTCATCGAATAATTCTTGAGCCTAATGTATATTAGCAATGTCTTAAGAAGTTATTTTTGCTTATACCTCTCTTTGGGGCAAGACAAATTTTTAGCCTTGAAGTTATTCCTTGGGATCATAGCCTATTGTGGAAGAAGCTTGTGCCTCCTTATGAACACATTGAGTCTTTCGGCCTTGTATAATGGTATTAAGAAGAGTTAAATTAATTTATTGTCTACTCCTAGAAGGATTAAAAGTATGCTAAAGGCAATTTTTTTAAGCATAAACCAATACTATTAAGAATGATCCTTTGAAGCTGCCTTTGGCCTTTGAAAACATTGGGTGAGAGTCAACCATTTTACTGTTAGGTGCATTTTCTACAAGGTTTGAAGTTTAAATCCTTGTTATTATCAGATAACATATCATAGATGACTGGTTTCCGCATCTCCTACACTGTTTTCCATAGTTACTTTGAACTTACCACACTCGTGGATTCAATAACTAGGCCAATTTTGGGTATAAAAGATATCAACTGTTCTTATGAAGATAAATTGTCTAGTTTTAACGTATTGAACGGTTATCAGTTCTTCAAATGCATGAACCATTTATTTTACCGTGTCTATATTCAGTCTAAGGCGTATGCAGGCATGGTAATGAGTCTTAGAGTATAGATACAAGTTCTTGAACAATCGTGTATTCTTTCTGCCTTGGTGGCATTGCAATTGTCTTCCGTGCATGCTTCGGGATGGCTATCGACTTCTCCCTTCTGTGACATACAAGTTTAGAAATGTCATCCTTTTGCCTAAAGATCCATCTAATGTAGTTAAATGTGATTGAAACTATACCTTGGATGGATACCGGTGGTTTTTTTGTAATGTTTGTCAGGCTTAAGTGTGCTATGTTTTATCCTGTTGTGAAAGAATTTGCCTTGAGGTTTCTATCTGATCTGACGTTGATCAAATATCTTCTGCAGCAAGTCCCGGACAGTTGAAGAGATATTGACAATTGATATAAAACCCGGGTGGAAGAAAGGGACAAAGATTACTTTTCCTCAGAAGGGAAATCAGGAGCCAGGCATCATTCCTGCAGATCTTATATTCGTAGTGGATGAGAAACCACATGCTATATACCGGAGGGATGGGAATGATCTTCTAGTGAACCATGAATTAACATTGCTGGAATCACTCACAGGTAAAACTCTTGAACTTACTTCTCTGGATGGAAGGAATCTTATGATCCATATAACAGATATTGTCAAACCTGGTGATGAGATGGTTCTGGCAAATGAAGGAATGCCAATCTCTAAGGAACTTGGGAAGAAGGGAAATTTGAGAATCAAGTTTGATGTCAAGTACCCATCAAGGCTTACAACAGAACAGAAGTCTGATCTGATAAGAGTTCTTGGTGTAGTTTCGTAGCATAACACTCGGGTAAAAGGGTTAGCCATTCAAACACATAGATAGCATATTATTCCCTGTAAATATACTCTGCATGATCTTGAAGAATGTGAAATGTTGGTAAGCTTTTCCTTTGGGTCTTTTTTGTGTGGGGGTGGGCGGTGTTCATTTGTTTGCGAATGAAGTTTTTGGTAAATGGCAGGCATAGAGGAAGCGTTAGATCAGTATATACTATTTATGAGGCATGTCGACTGCTATGATTTTTGGCAGAGTAGCGTTTCCCTTTCCTCTGTTTATTTTTTGGGGGAAATTTGTTTTAACTCTGTACTTAGTTGTGAGACAATTTTTAACCTCAAATTTTCAATCTCATTCAATTGAACTCTGAGCGTGAATAAGTGGTGAAATTAATGACATATGCTGTCTCTGTGAGGGTTGATTTTCCGGTTATCATAGGCTTTCTTCTTCCTCTTTCTTTTGGATTTGGCTATTCTGATTTTGGATCTGGGCATTGTTTGGGTGTTCTGTTCATGGTTGAGTCTGTATTTTTGTAGGATTTGTGTGTTTTGTAGCTTGATTTAGATGTTTTATTGTCTGATTGCTCTGTGTCTTGGTTCAAAGAGGTTGATTTCACCACTTATTCAATGTTAAGGTTCAATAAGATGAAATTGAGATTTGATTGTTAAAATTTATTTTAGAAAGAGTTGTCCTTGAGTTTTTAGATTTTGGGGAATGTAAATTATATCCAATTGGATGGTTTATGTACTTAGACTGAATGATTATGGTGATCCCATCATTATTTCCACTTTGTATACTTTCACTTTGTCATTATCATTAGGTCTCTGCCAGCATTCTGCCCTGTCTCTCTCTCTCTCTCTCTCAAATGAATTAGTTTACTAACTCCATGACGAGAATAGGACAAACTGAGCTTGATGACCACAGCACCTTTCACTTCTGAACTAACTACCAAAACAATGAAGAATTTAGGCTCAACTTTTTGGTTATGATGATTTAATATCTTCAATTATTGTTTGATTCATCTAAATTATTGTTCAAATGAACTCTTGATCGAGGATATATCTTTAAACTAGGTTAGTATGTCGAGGTTGGCTACTAATATGGTGGTATAATGTTATAGATAATAATCGATGTTTCTCATGTTCATTTTCTCTTATCATTTTCTTATGGTCCAATTCTATTTTCTGCTGCAAATCTTTGATTTTGTGTAATGTTTTGTAATTTAGAGGCAGGCTTATGTGATGGAAGAAGTATGAAAGAAAAAGGTCATTACTTTTGTGGGGAGTATTGAATTGGTACTATAATTAACACGGTTATGTCAGGTCAGGGCCATAAGTTTCTTTGTTGTTTTGGAGGATCAAAAAACATCCATGAATGGCATGTTTTGGTCCCCAAGTTCCCAATGGCCCCCAATTGGAGGACCACGTCCCACGTATAATACCCCTTATTCTGAAATGTTATATCAGAATGAGAGGTGGAATCTTAACACATTGCCAGCTTTCGATATGTCGTAAACTATAAATATACGAGCTGGGGTATAGTTTCTACATTAGAACCATGAGGATCAAAAAAACAAGCCACATGATAGAACAGGTTGGAGTTTATCGACGACTTGTTTGAGGGGAGCCAAACCTTTTTTCTTGATTCTCTTACTTACATTATAGGAATGATGATTTAACTACTGACATTTGAAATGGTGATTCGTACTTTTATACAGCTCATATTAGTGTCTGGTTTATCAGACTCAGAGGTGAAATCTTAACACATTGCTATCTTTTGATACGTCGTAAACTATAAATGTACAAGTTGGGGTATAGTTTCTACATTAAAACCACGAGGATCAGGAAACAAGCCACACAATATAACGGGTTGGAGTTCGTCGACCGACCTTATTGGAGGGGAGGTAAACCTTTTTTCTTGAATCTCTTATTTAAATTATAGGGATGATGATCGAACTGCTGACATTTGAAATGATAATTCGTGCCTTTACATAACTCATGTTAGTGCCTGGTTTATGTTTTACGCATTATAATGACATGTTAACTCGAGTGGGTCGAAAGCATCTCCAAAAACAGAATCTAGTCCAAGTTTGGTTGCTTTTCTGTGAGAGTTTCAGCTATTGTAAGAACACCTGCACCACTTCACACAGTTAATAATGTGTCTCCTTTTACCAAAACAGGGGATTGCTCCCCAAAAAAAAAACTGTCATGCTTCTTCTTCATTGAGATTTGGCATATCCATCTGACCAACTCATGTGCTCTCCCATCTTTGCTGCTACCCCAATCAGTGCTTTACCATATCAGAGTCAGTGATCAGAAGTCAGAATTAGCATTTGAAACCACCACCTACTCTTTCCACTCACAACTTAGCAAGTCATTCACTGATATATTACTCTACTTCACCAGCCCTAAGTTATTCTTCAAAGGTTGCTGTTATGGCCTAGAACATAGCATAGATAGCTGGTTAGCTTATGTATCATCGAACAAAAGATCCGATGTTTGAACCTTCCTTCTTCTACATTGGTGAAAGTGTGCGCACAATGAATAGACTAAGTAGAAAAGTAGGTTAGAATTTGATAGAACTTCATTAATAGCCTCTATAATTTGATAAAAATGTGAGGTCCCATACCAATTGGAGAGGGGAATGAATCATTCTTTTTAAGAGTGTGGAAACTTTTTCCTAGCAGATGTGTTTTAATAACCTTGTGTGGAAGTTCGAAATGAAAAGTCCAAAAAGGACAATATCTGTTAGCAATGGGCTTAGGCTGTAACAAATGGTATAAGAGCTAGACATTGGATGGTGTGCCAGCGAGGATGCTGAGCTTCGGAAGGGGGTAGATTACGAGATCCCACATCGATTGGAGAGGAAAACGAGTGCCAGTGAGGATACTGGGCCCCCAAAGAGAGGGTGGATTGTGAGATCCCACATTGGTTGGAGAAGGAAACGAAACATTCTTTATAAGGGTGTGGAAACCTCTTCCTAGTAGTCGCGTCTTAAAAACTTTGATGAGAAGCTCGAAAGGAAAAATTTAAAGAAGACTATCTGCTAACAGTGTACTGTACGGTTACAAAAATCTTCCTAGATAGTCTCTAGTTTTACCCGTTTTACCATTGGCAGTTGCAATGACAAGAGCCTTACACACATGTGTAGCTGCTTCTGCCAAAAAGAACTGAGCATTAAATTCAGCACCTTGAAATAAGCAGATCTTTGGAGGACCCATCTCTATCTCTCTCTCTCATGGGTTTGATATTGTTTCATAAATGGAAGGGGTTAGGCTGTTGCAGACTGCAGGGCATTTGAGAGGAAAAAAACAGAGACATTGCTATGAAAACAGCACATGTGAGCTGCCCCCTTCCCCCTACGGCCCTTGAAAGACCTCTCTCAATAATGAGATAACATTTTCCTCCACAGTTTGATGATGCAATAATCTTCATTTTTTTTGAACTGTTTTCATTTTCTTTTGTTCTTCTTTTCCAATTACTTTGCTTTTGTTTTGTGTGTTCATCATTTTCTTCATATATTTATGATATGAGACGGTGAAAAATGCATATTTGTTTATAAAATATGAGTGACAAGGTCTAAAGTAAAATCCCTATATTATAATGTTACGATATGTGGTCTAGAACATCGACGTAGATGTTACGAACTTTAGTTAGATTTCAACTTTTGTCTCGAAAGTTTAAATAATTAACTGATATATTATGCACATGAGGTCTCAACCAATGTGAGATTTCACAATCAACCCTTTAGAGACTAATGCACCTGGTGACTCTTATACTATTTTAACAGCCTAAGTCCACCGCTAGCAGATATTATTCTTTTTTGAAGTTTCCCTCAAGAGTGCTGACTCTTGTACTATTTGTAACAACCTAAGTTCAACGCTAGTAGATATTGTCCTTTTTGAGGTTTCTCTAAGTCTACCAGTAGTAGATATTGTCCTTTTTGAGATTTCTCTCAAGAGTTCTGACTCTTATACTATTTGTAACCGCCTAAGTCCACCGCTAGCATATATTGTCCTTTTTGAGGTTTCCCTCACTGCCAGCAGATATTGTCATTTTTTATGTTTTCCTCAAGATTTTTAAAATGTGTCTCCTAGAGAGAAGTTTTCACTCTCTTAGAAGGAATGTTTCGTTTTCCTCTCCAGCCAATGTAGGTTTTCATAATGCATAAAATTGACGAGATCGTGAACTTTCAAATTAAAAAAAAAAAGTTTAATATGTCAGGATCATGATCTTATAAAAAAAGAATACGAAAATAAGAGGCTCATAAAAAATGGCTTATAATTAAGAGGTGATTGTTTAGTATGAGATGATAAGAGAAGAAAGGATGATAAAAGATGGTGGGCATACAAGTGATAGGGTGTTGTACATGTGGGATTGGTGGAAGAAACAAACCTTAGCCTACTTTTTGGCATTTTTTTGGTTGTCATTATTCGAGATTTTTTATCGAACCATAGGAACTAAATTTTAACATTTTTCTAATTGCAGTGTCGTATGAGACACACCCAACGAGCCCTAGTTCTTGTAATCTTGGTCTAGCCTATGGACCTCTTTTTCCTGATCCAAAACAGAATCGATAAAACCCTAATTGAAACGTTATATCAATACTATACTTTCATTGGGGGACGCTAAGTCGCGGACTTGCGATTGTGCGACACTCACTTTTCAGCAACAAGTGTGTTGAGCTTATTCGTTATTACGTCGCTTACAGCCAAACGACGTATGCTCGAGCCTCTGGCTCCGGTTCAAGAAGAAAGTTTTAGAAAATGAGACCAGAGATTTCGAAAGAGAGTTTTGTAAGCAAGATTGAGAAATTGAAATTTATGTTATATGGGAATGTAAGTAAAAAGACAAAAACAACGGCTTACTGCATATAACTATAGGGTATTGAAGCCGTGTGGCAAGTATCACACAGATGTGCAAAAGTCTCTTCTCCTCTTAAACAAAATTTCTCATTGTTGTCAGCCAGAATTTTAACAGCATCCGCTGACGTCCTGCGTAGAAAAGAAAAGGTTTGCTTAATAATATGCCCACGGTATTTAAAGGAGCAAAAGCATGAAAAATAAAGAATCAGAATGTATATAAAAATGATTAAAAAAGAAACCAATATGTCGAGAATCAACTCAGAGTCGGCCAATCCCTATTGGTTGAGACCGAACAACTCCTATTGGTTAGAGTCAAAGCTGACTAATGACTGACACCCATCCGTGTTAAGCAAATTTCAAGATCTC